GCAGGAATCCCTCACCCCATGGAATCCCTCATCCCCAGGGAATCCCTCATCCCTGTGGCAGAGCAGGAATCCCTCATCCCCATGGAATCCCTTACCCCATGGAATCCCTCATCCCCATGACAGAGCAGGAATCCCTCATCCCATGGGATCCCTCATCCCCAGGACGGGCACACTCAGGGCAGACAGTGGGCCCCCCACAACCCCCCGCTCAGCCCTGTGTCCCTGCTGTCCCCAGGCTCCCTGAACCACGCAGCCAGCAAAAAGCTGGATCTGGAGGCCTGGTTTCCCGGCTCCGGAGCCTTCCGGGAGCTCGTGTCCTGCTCCAACTGCACTGACTACCAGGCGCGGCGGCTGCGCATCCGCTACGGCCAGACCAAGAAAATGATGGACAAGGTGAGCCTGGGGGTTCTGGGGGGGCCTGCCTGTGTCCCCCATCCCTCTCTGTGTTACTCGTGTCCCCCTGGAGCACTCCGGAGCCATGAGCTCACGGGCTCAACCAGGGCTTTAAAACAGAAATATATGTAGGGCTCGCTAATACCTCGAGATATTGGCAAGAGAACGAGCCCAGACTTGTTCCCAAGAGATGTTTTTAGTGACAATTTAGGGGAGGAAATGAGGGAACTTGAAGAGGTTCCAAAGGGCACCACACAAGGGGGACTAAAATGTTCCACCGCAACACCAACACTGCCCCAGCACAGACTGATCCACAGCACTGGAGTGGAGATCCAATTGATCCACAACACTTCAGTCAGGATCCAACCCCTCCACAACACTTAAATCAAAATCCAGTTCCTCCACAACACTCAGGATCCAATAAATCCACAACACTTAAATCAAAATCCACCCCCTTCACAACACTTAAGTCAAGATGCAGTAAATCCACAACACTCCAGTCAAAATCCAACCCCTCCACAACACTTAGATCAAGATCCAATTAATCCACAACACCTAAATCAAGATCCAGACCCTCCACAACACTTAAATCAAGTTCCACTTAATCCAGAACACTCCAGTCAAAATCCAGCCCCTCCACAGCACTTAAATCAAAATTCCAGCCCAGAATTCCCCCAAATTTCCTCATTTTTCTCCCAAATTTCCTCTGTCTTCTGATTTCACCCAATTTCTCAAATTTTAAGTTTTCCCCAAACTTCCCCAAATTTTTTTCAAATTTCCCCCGAAGTTTCTCCAGGTTTTCCCCAAATTTCTTCAAATTTTCCCCAAATTTCCCCCCAGATTTCATCAGGGGCTCCAAGAACTGAGAGGTGTTATAAAATGTATGTACAATAGCTAAGAATACTTAAAATATAACATATAAAATACAGGAATATATAAAATATATACTTATGTGTAGTATATAAGTATATAAAATATATTAAATTTATAATATAAAAATATATGAAATATATAAAATATAATGTATCAATTATATACAAATATTTAATAATATAAAAGTAAATTAATATATAAAATGTATAATATGTAAATGTATAATATATAAATAAAATATAGTGTATGAAATAAAATATAGTGTATGAATAATATATAAAATATACATGAATATATTAATAATAAGTAAATGAATATATAAAATATATAATATATAAATACACTTATATATAAATAGATAGTTTTATAAAATATATAAAATATAATATATAAAATATAATAATATATAGAATATAGACTAATATATCAATAATATATAAGTATATAAAATGTATAAATATAATATACTAGTGTATAAAATATATAAACTAATATATAAAACAGAATAATATATTAATACGTAAGTATATAAATATATATACAATATATAAAATGTATGTAAAATATATTTTATATATATGTATTATATATAAAATATATATAACATATATATTATATATATTACATATATAAGTATATGTAATATATAGAAATATATAGAAATATATAGAAATTTATAAAAATGTATAAAACCTAACTACAATATGGCAATATATAACAAAATATAATCATTTTTTCCCTGTTTGGGGGAACACCCGAAACACTCTCTTCAGAGTAGATGTTTCCTGGCTTGCTAAAAAATTGTTCTCTACTGAAACCAAAACTGAGCCACATTTTGGGATGTGGTGCCAAAATGTTCAGTTCAAAGCTCTGTCCTAAAATCACGAAAGTGCTGAAAGTGCCTTAAAATCGGGCTATTTCTGGGTCTCAGGGCATTGGTTCCCCCCTTCCCCTCCCCCCCACACACAGACCCCCCCATACGGGGCCTGGGACCCCAGAGTCACTGCGGGGTGTGGGGTGTGTCCCCCCCAGGTGGAGTTCGTGCACATGCTCAACGCCACCATGTGTGCCACCACCCGCACCATCTGCGCCATCCTGGAGAACCACCAGACCCCCGAGGGCATCCTGGTCCCGGAGAGGCTGCAGCAGTTCATGCCCCCAGGTAACAACCCCCCCCCTGAGACCCCCGTCCCGAGATTTTATGGCCCCAGGTAACCCCCCAAGACCCCCCATCCTGCGATTTCATGGCCCCAGGTAACCCCCCAAGACCCCCCATCCTGCGATTTTATGGCCCCAGGTAACCCCCCCAAGACCCCCATCCCAGGATTTTGTGGCCTCTGTGACACCCTTCCCCCCCCCGAGACCCCACCTGTCCTGGGATTTCACGGCCCCTGTGACCCCCTGTCCCGGGATTTCATGGCCCCTGTGAGCCCCCCATCCCAAGATTTCATTCCCCCTGTGACCCCTCCCACTGTCCTGGGATTTCATGCTCCCAAGTAACACCCCCTCCCCTGTGACTCCCCTGTGACCCCCTGTCCCAGGATTTCATGACCCCTGTGACCCCCTCCATCCCAGGATTTCACGCCCCAGGTAACCCTCCCCAGTGACTCCCCCATGCCCTCCCCGTGATGGGGGTGACAGGGGTCCTGTGTGCCCCCCAGACCTGCGGGAGCTGATCCCCTTCGTGAAGCCGGCGCCCATCGAGCAGGAGCTCTCCAAGAAGCAGAAGAAGCAGCAGGAAGGGGGGGGCAAGAAGAAGGCGGGGGGAGCCCGGGAGCAGGGGCTGGAGGAGCAGGTGAAGAACATGGCGGTCTGAGGGCCCCCCCCCGCACTCCCCCGAGGGACTTTTGGGGTCTCCTGAGTCATCCCACCTTCCTTGCTGGGCCATGCCCTCAGCTTCGCTTGGGGGGAGTCACCGTCGGCCCCCCCCGCAGCACAAAGAACTGACACATGTGTGGGCCCCCCCCCCCTCGTGTGGCCCCCCCACCCGCTGAGCGGGGCCGGGGACCCCCCGCGTTCTCCCTCCATCTAATAAAGGCAAGAGCTGCTGAACTGCGTGTGCTGGGGGGGTGCCGAGGGGGCACGGGAGGGTCCAGCTTCCGCCCCAGCGTGCAGGGGGGGTGTCTCCAGCCCGAGGGGGGGTCTCTCCATCTCCCGTGGACCCCCCTTTCCCCTCTCCCAGCCCCATACAAAGCTGCAGACAAAGCCCCTTTGTGATGCAAAGTGGGGCCAGGGGGCCCCCAGGCTCAGCCCCAGCTGCCGCCCGCTCCCCCACCGGACTCGGGGGGGGACACATAGGAGGAGATTATCCCTCTCCATCACTACGGGGGGGCCCGGCTGCTTCCCCCCTCCCGTCCCGTGTATGCGTGGGAACTCCCGTCGGGGCGGGCGGGGAGCGGCCCCCGGTGAGTCAGCGGAGCCTCCGGCGGGGGCGGGGGGGCCCCGGCGGTTCCGAGCGCCGCCCCGGCGCGGGGGGGGTCTCCCCCAGGACCCGTCCGACCCGTTCTGCCGGGGGGGAGGACCCGGCTCCGCGCCGCCTGCCCGCACCCACGCCCCGGGACCGGCGCCGGCTGGGGGGGCACCCACGGACCGCGGGGATCCGCCCCCACCCGCCCTCTGCAGTCCCCCCCAGTCTGTCCCGGTCCCCCCCAGCATCCCCAGTACAGCCCAGTCTGCCAGTGCCCCCAGTTTCTCCAGTCCCCCCAGTCTGTGGCAGTGCCCCCCCAGCATCCCTGGTACAGCCCAGTCTGTCCCAGCGCCCCCCAGCTTCCCCAGTCCCTGCCAGTCTGTCCCGGTGTCCCCCATCATCCCTGGTCCCCCCCAGAGTCCCCCAGCATTCCCAGTCCCTGCCAGTCTGTTCCAGTGCCCCTCGGTCCTTGTGCGGTAGGACCAGCCCAGGGGTCGGGGTGGGGGGTCCCACGGCGTGGGGGGACATGGACCCCCGTGACTGGGGTCACAGCCGGGGCGTGTGTGTGTGACACGTGCTGTGTGTGTCACATGTGCTGTGTGTCACACATAGCTGTGTGCTGTGTCACATGTGTGTGTCACGTGTGCTGTGTGTCACGTGTGCTGCGTGTGTCACACATGATCTGTGTGCTGTCACATGTATTGTGTGTTCTGAGTGTCACACGTGCTGTGTGTGCTCTGTGTGTCACACACGTACCCTGTGTTCTGCCCATGTCACTCACATGCACTCACACACGTGTGCCCTGCACATGCAACCTGTGTGTTCCCCACGTGTGCCATACGTGTGCCCATGACGTTCGTGTGTGTGCCAGGCCCTTCACATGTGTGTGTGCACAATGCACGTGTGTGTGTGTGCACCTTACACGTGTGTGCACCTTATGTGCGTGTGTGCACAATGCACGTGTGTGTGTGTGCACCTTACATGTGTGCACAATGCACACGTGTGTGTGTGTGCACCTTACATGCGTGTGTGTGCACCTTACATGTGTGTGTGTGCACAATGCACGTGTGTGTGTGTGTACACCTTACATGTGTGTGTGTGTGCACAATGCACGTGTGTGTGCGTGTGCACTTTACATGTGTGCGCGCAACCTGCTCTCGGGGGTGCGCCCGGTGCCCCCCGCGCTGCCGCTGCCGGTGCGGGTCCCGCTGCCGGTGCGGGGGCGGCGGCGGCTCCTTTAAGCGCGGCGGGGCCGGTGCAGCGGCGGCTCCGCCCCGGCGGGCGCGCGCGGGCGCGGGCGGGGCGCAGGCGGCGGCGCGGGGCGCTGTGGGCACCGGCACCGGCACCGGCACCGGGGGGGCAGCGGCCATGGGCCTTCCACCCGCCCGCCGGGCCGCGCAGCCGCTGCTCCCGCTGCTGCTGCTGCTGCTGCTACTGCCGCCGCCTGCACCGGGACCCGCCACCGGCATCGCCATCGCCACCGGCATCGGCTCTGCCGCCAGCATCGCCACCGACACCGGCATCGCCACCGGGACCGAGACCGGCATCAGCTCCGCCACTGGGACCGGCATCGGCTTCGCCACCGGCACCGGCAGCCGGAGCGGCACCGGGATCCGCCCCCGCCTTCCCGACGCGCTGCCGGCGCCGCTCCAGGCTCGCCGCGGCGGCACCGGGGACAGCGGCGGCTCCGGCGGCACCGGGGACAGCGGCGGCACCGGGGACAGCGGCGGCTCCACACGGCCCCCGCCGAGCGATGGGACCGCACCGGGCTCCGGGAGGGACGGCGGCGGCGTTTGGGGGTCCCGAGGCACCGGCGGCACCGGCGGTACCGCGGGCGTCAGAGGCACCGCGAGCACCGGCGTCACTGGAGCCACGAGGAATGCTGGAGACACCAGGAACCCTGGAGGCGCTGGGGATGCTGGAGGCGCTGGGGACGCTGGAAGCGTCAGGGACGCTCCTGGAGGCACCGGGGATACCGGAGGCGCAGGGGATACTGGAGGAACTGGAGACACCAGGAGCACCCATGTCCTCAGGGACAGCGGGAGCGCCGCGGATACCGGACACACCAGGAACACTGGCGTCCTCTCAGACAGCAAGAGCGCCGGGGCCATGCTGAGCGCTGGGGGGGCTGGGGGCACTGGGGGCACCCCAGTCCTCAGGGACATCAGGGATACTGGATGCACTGGGGAGACTGGGAGAGACACTGGAAGCACCGGGAAAGTCCCCAGGAGCAGCAGAGACACTGGACATAATGAGGAGACTGGGAAAGTCCCCAGGGACACTGAGAGCACCAGAGAAGTCCCCAGGGACACCAGGAACTCTGGGAATACTGGGCATGCTGGGGGCACCAACATCCCCGGGGACACTGAGAGCACCAGGGAAGTCCCCAGGGACACCCGGAACACTGGGAATACTGGACACACTGGGTGCACCAACATCCCCAGGGACACCGAGAGCACCAGCAAAGTCCCCAGGGACACTGGGAATACTGGACATGCTGGGGGCAACAACATCCCCAGGAACACCAGGAACACTGGGAATACCAGACACACTGGGGACACCAGTGGCACAGGGGACACGATGGGCTCCAGGGCTGTTGAGGACCCCCAGATCAGGGCAGCCCCCGGACCCCCCATGCTCCGCCCCCGCCGGAGCCCCAATACAGCACCGCAGTTCCAGCCTTCCAGCTATCAGGCCACGGTGGAGGAGAACCGGCCCGCGGGGACACCGGTGACACAGGTGACGGCGCAGGACCCTGACGAGGGCGAGGCAGGGCGGCTGCTCTATGCCATGGCCGCACTCTTTGACAGTCGCTCTGACGCCCTGTTCGCCGTGGACCCCGTGACAGGTGCCATCACCACGGCGGCGCCGCTGGACCGCGAGAGCAAGAGCACCCACGTGTTCCGCGTGACAGCGGCCGACCACGGCGCACCCCGGCGCAGCGCCATGGCCACGCTCACCATCACCGTGGGCGACGCCAACGACCACGACCCGTCCTTTGAGCAGCCTGAGTACCGTGAGAGCGTGCGGGAGAACCTGGAGGTGGGCTATGAGGTGCTGACCGTGCGGGCCACTGATGGCGATGCCGGACCCAACGCCAACGTGCTCTACCGGCTCCTCAATGCCGGCGGCGCCAACGAGGTCTTCGAGATCGACCCCCGCTCCGGCGTCATCCGCACACGCGGCCCTGTGGACCGGGAAGCGGTGGATGCCTTCGAGCTGCTGGTGGAGGCGGCGGACCAGGGCCAGGAACCCCGCAGTGCCACAGCCACCGTGCGCATCGCGGTGGAGGATGACAACGACAATGCGCCGCAGTTCAGCGAACGGCGCTACGTGGCACAGGTGCCCGAGGATGTGGTGCCCAATGCAGCTGTGCTGCGGGTGACGGCCACTGACCGCGACAAGGGCAGCAACGCCCTGGTGCACTACAGCATCGTCAGCGGCAACACTCGTGGCCACTTCTACATCGATGCCCAGACAGGCGCCCTGGACGTCATCACTCCCCTGGACTTCGAGGTCACCAAGGAGTTCACGCTGCGCATCCGGGCACAGGATGGCGGCCGCCCGCCCCTCTCCAACATCAGCGGATTGGTTACCGTGCAGGTGCTGGACGTCAACGACAATGCCCCCATCTTCGTCAGCACGCCCTTCCAGGCCACCGTGCTGGAGAACGTCCCTGTGGGCTACTCCGTCATCCACGTGCAGGCCATCGATGCCGACTCAGGGGACAATGGCCGGTTGGTTTACACCCTGCTGGAGACCGGCGCTGGCTTCCCCTTCACCATCAACAATGGCACCGGCTGGATCGTGGTGGCCTCCGAGCTGGACCGGGAGGCCATGGACTTCTACAGCTTCGGTGTGGAGGCGCAGGACCAGGGGACACCCCCCATGGCCTCCACGGCCAGCGTCAGTGTCACCATCCTGGATGTCAATGACAACAGCCCCGAGTTCACCCAGAGGGAATACGGTGCCCGCCTCAACGAGGATGCGGCAGTGGGGACAAGTGTCCTCACCGTGTCTGCCGTCGACCGCGACGCCAACAGCGTCATCACTTATCAGATCTCCAGCGGCAACACCCGCAACCGCTTCTCCATCACCAGCCAGAGCGGTGGGGGGCTCATCTCGCTTGCCCTGCCCCTGGACTACAAGCTGGAGCGACAGTACCTGCTCACTGTCGCAGCGTCCGACGGCACCCGCCAGGACACCGCCCTGGTGGTCGTCAACGTCACCGATGCCAACACCCACCGTCCTGTCTTCCAGAGCTCTCACTACACTGTCAACATCAACGAGGACCGGCCGGTGGGCACCACGGTGGTGGTGATCAGCGCCACGGATGAGGACACCGGGGAGAACGCCCGCATCACCTACCTGATGGAGGACAGCATCCCCCAGTTCCGCATCGCCACCAACACTGGCGCCGTCACCACCCAGATGGAGCTGGACTACGAGGACCAGGTGTCCTACACCTTGGCCATCACAGCGCGGGACAATGGCATCCCCCAGAAATCCGACACCACCTACCTGGAGATCCTGGTGAGCGATGTCAACGACAACGCGCCGCAGTTCCTCCGCCACTCCTACCAGGGCTCCGTCTACGAGGATGTCCCCGCCTTCACCAGTGTTCTGCAGGTCTCCGCCACTGACCGCGACTCTGGGCTCAACGGCAGGGTCTTCTACACCTTCCAGGGGGGCGACGACGGCGATGGTGACTTCATCATTGAGTCCACCTCAGGCATCGTCCGCACTCTGCGCCGCCTGGACCGGGAGAACGTGCCGCTCTACTCCCTGCGGGCCTTCGCCGTTGACAAGGGGGTGCCAGCGCGACGGACGCCGGTGGAGATCCAGGTGACGGTGCTGGACGTCAATGACAACCCACCTGTCTTTGAGCGCGACGAGTTCGACATCTTCGTGGAGGAGAACAGCCCCATCGGGCTGGTGGTGGCCCGGATCACGGCCACCGACCCCGACGAGGGCACCAACGCCCAGATCATGTACCAGATCGTGGAGGGCAACATCCCGGAGGTCTTCCAGCTGGACATCTTCTCCGGGGAGCTCACGGCACTGGCCGACTTGGACTACGAGGCCAAGGCCGAGTACGTCATGGTGGTCCAGGCCACGTCGGCGCCGCTGGTCAGCCGGGCCACCGTGCACGTGCGGCTGCGCGACGCGAACGACAACAGCCCCCAGCTGAAGAACTTTGAGATCCTCTTCAACAACTACATCACCAACCGCTCTGGGAGCTTCCCTGGTGGTGTCATCGGCCGCATCCCAGCCCACGACCCTGACGTGTCCGACCGCCTCACCTACGCCTTCGAGCAGGGCAACGAGCTCAACCTGGTGCTGCTGGACCCCCAGAGCGGGGAGCTGCGGCTCAGCCCTGCCTTGGACAACAACCGCCCGCTGGAGGCCGTCATGAGGGTCTCTGTGTCCGGTAGGACCCCTGCCCAGGGGGGTGGGCTGGGCACAGGAAGTGGGGAGGTTTGGGGGTGTTATGGGGTCTCCCCACACCGTTTTGCCTGCCCCCACCCTTCAGATCGGGGCGGGGGGGCTGATGTGCATTGGGGTCCTGCCAACCCACTGAGGTGTTTTGGGGCCCCACCACCCCATCTTGGCTGCCCCCACCCTCCAGATCCAGGTGAGGGGGGTGTGAGGGGGATGCTGTCCCCCCCCCCAGCCCAGACACCCGTCTGGAGGCATTCAGGGGCCCCAGCACCCCCTTTTCCTCCCCCATCCTCTGGGGTGTCCGGAGGGGTCCAATACCACAGTGCACCTTCTTTTGGGGGGGCAGGACCCTGGTGGGTGTTGGGGTGGTCCTGGCACCTCTATGTGTGGCGCTGGGGGGGGCAGGACCCACTGTGTGTACCTGGGGGGAGGTTGCAGAGGCTGGTGTGTGCAAGGGGGGAGTCCTGCTACCCTTGCGTGGGTACTGGGGGTCCCAGTGGGTGAATTTGGGGGGGCTCGAGGTGCAGCGCAGTACTGGGGGGTCCTGGCACCCCAATGGATGTTTCCAGGAGACCCCAGTGCTTGTATTTGGGGGGGGGAACACACCGATGTCCTCACTGGGGGGTCCCCAAACACAGTGGGGGGCTCGCGGGATAAGAGGGGGGTGTACCCTTGATTCAGGGGGGCCAGGAGGTGCTGCCGGGGGGGGGGGTCACCCCAGGGTGGAGGAGCATCTCCTTACCCCCCTCCCCAGAGCAGGGAGGGAAATTGAGTCACAGCCCAGGCCGTGATGTCCCTTGTCCCCATCTGCGTGTTCCTCCCCCCGCCCCCAGTTTGGGGTCCCTGCTCTGGCCACACAAAACGGGGGACCCAGGGTACAAAGGTTGGGGGCTGGGGGCCCCCCAAGCCCCCCCCCGAGAGTGGAGGCAGCCGCGAGGGGAACAAAAGGTCCGGCCATAGCTGGGGCCCCGCGACCGCGGCCATGGCAACCCCCCTCCCCGGCACCGGCCACCGGCCACGGGCCACCGACCCCGCCACCCCCCCCCCTTCACCCCCTCTGGGCCCCCCGCAGTCCCCACGCTCCCTCTGTCCATCTGTCCACCCACTGCCCATCTGTCCCGAGTGCCACTGCCCCGGGAGGAGGAGGAGCAGGAGGAGGAAGGGGGGTGTCCCAATGCTGGGCAGGGACTTTGACTCCCCCGGCCCCATAGCCAGACCCAGCCCCATAACCAGTGCAAGTCCCATAACCAGCCCCATAACCAACCCCATAACCAGCACCAACCCCATAGCAATGTCAGCCCCATAACCAGCCCCACCCCCATAACCAGCACCAACCCCATAGCCATAACCAGCCCCATAACCAACCCCATAACCAGCCCCATCCCCATAACCAGCCCCAACCCCATAACCAGCCCCAGCCCCACTTGCCAGTGCCCAATGGGGTTGGTCACTGGGTTGGTCACCCCATGCCTGCCCCACCACCCACCCTCAGATCATCCACCCCTGCCTCCCCCCCAGTGTCCCCCAGGCCACCCCCAACCCCTCAATGTCCCCCAGACCCCCATATCCCCCAGACCCCAATGTCCCCAGACCCTTCCAGCCCTGACCCCCCAATGTACCCAGACCCCCAATGTCCCCCACCCCTGATCCCCCAATGTCCCCAGACACCCCGCTGACCCCTGTGTCCCCCAACGTCCCCATTTCCCCACTGCTGACCCCCATGTCCCCCGTTGTCCCCAACCCCCCTTGCTGACCTGTGTTCTCAGTGTCCCCAGTTCCTCCCCGTATCCCCGGTGTCCCCATTTCCCCCCGCTGACCCACGTCCCCGTGTCCCCAGACGGCGTGCACAGTGCCAGCGCGCAGTGCGTGCTGCGGGTGACGGTGATCACGGATGAGATGCTCAGCAACAGCATCACCCTGCGCTTGGCCGACATGTCGCAGGAGCTCTTCCTGTCGCCGCTGCTCGGCCGCTTCCTCGAGGGGGTGGCGACCGTGCTGGGCACCCCCCGGCACCGCGTCGTGCTCTTCAACATCCAGGCAGATACGGACGTGGGGCCGGCGCGGATCCTCAACGTGAGCTTGTCGGCGCTGCTGCCGCCACCCGCGGCCTCGCGCTTCTTCTCCTCCGAGGAGCTGCAGGAGCGGCTCTACCTCAACCGCTCACTGCTGGCGGCCATCACGGCACAGCGGGTGCTGCCCTTCGATGACAACGTGTGCCTGCGCGAGCCCTGCGAAAACTACATGCGCTGCGTGGCCGTGCTGCGCTTCGACAGCTCCGCGCCCTTCCTGGCCTCCGACACCATCTTGTTCCGGCCCATCCGACCTGTGCCGGGGCTGCGCTGCCGCTGCCCGCCTGGCTTCACCGGCGACTACTGCGAGACCGAGATCAACCTGTGCTACTCCAGCCCCTGCGGTGCCCACGGGCGCTGCCGCAGCCACGAGGGCGGCTACGCCTGCGAGTGCCACGAGGACTTCACCGGTGAGCAGCGCCGGCCCAGGGGCCTCAGGCAGCCTCTGCCATCCTCCATCCTCTGTCCAGCCTGAGATCCATCCATCCATCCATCCATCCATCCATCCATCCATCCATCCATCCATCCCTCCATCCTTCATCCTCCATCCAGTCCTCCATCAATCCATCCCTCCATCCCTCCATCCCTCCCTCCATCCATCCATCCATCCATCCCTCCATCCCGCCATCCATCCATCCGTTCTTCCTCCCTCCTTTCCTCCCTCCCTCCTTCCCCTTATCCATCCATCCATCCATCCATCCATCCATCCCTAGATCCATCCATCCATCCATCCATCCATTCTTCCTCCCTCCCTCCTTTCCTCCTTTCCTCCTTCCCTTTGTCCATCCATCCATCCATCCCTTCTTCCTGGTGTCCATCCTCATCTTCCCTCATCACCTCCTCTTCAATCTCCCTCCCTCCCTCCCTCCATTTCTCCCTCCCTCCATTTCTCCCTCCCTCCCTCCTCCATCCTTTCCTTCCTCATGGTGTTCATTTCCATCATCCCTCCCTCCATCCCTCCCTCCCTCCTCTTATCCATCCCTCCATCCCCCTCCATCTCTCCTCCATCCCTTCTCCATCCCCATCCTCCCTCCTCCCCTTTGTTTCTATCCCTTCAACCTCCTCCTCCTCCATCTCCCCACCTCCCTCCTTCTCCTCTGCCCCCTCTCCCTCACGCCTCTCTGTCCCCGCTGTCCCCCCCAGCCCCCCCATGGTCCCCCCATGAGGTCCCTGCAGGGGGGACAGGGACACTTGGGGGGGGCAGAGCCCTGGGGAACCCCTGTGTGGGGTGGGGACCCCTGGGGACACCCCCCCAGGGTCACGAGGGGACTGGTGACACTGGGGACATCCCCCCCACCTCCACTCTGGGGACCCCAACCCCCACGGGACCCCCGGATGGGGGAGGGGATGTGAGGGGAGGGGGCTTCTCCTGGTTGCCATGGTGATGGGAGGTGGTTGCCATGGTGATGGAGCTGAGGATAAAGATACTGGGGGGGGCGGGGAGGGAGGGGGGACCCCTACCCTGCCACCCCCCGATTTGGGACTTCTTGGGGCTTCTGGGAGCTGAGCACTCGAGGAGGCTCTCTGGGGTTAATGGGGGGGTGAGATTGGACCCCCCACCCTGGGTTTTGGGGTTGTGGGTGTTCCACAGGGGAGCAGTAGGGAGGAGATGGGACCCCACCCTCTAATTTTGGGGTTCTGGGTGTCCTCCAGGGGAACCCTGTGAGCTGAGTGCCTGAGGGGAGCTCTGTGGGGTTAATGAGGGGGAAAAAGGGACCCTGTCCCCCTAATTTTGGGGTCCCATGTGTCCCCCAGGGGAGCACTGCGAGCTGAGTGCCCGGGGGGGCCGCTGCACGCCGGGGGTCTGCCGGAATGGGGGCACGTGCCTGAACCTGCTGGTGGGGGGGTTCCGGTGCCAGTGCCCCCCCGGGCACTACGAGAAGCCCTTCTGTGCCATGAGCACCCGCAGTTTCCCCCCCAAATCCTTCCTCACCTTCCGTGGGCTCCGCCAGCGCTTCCACTTCACCCTCGGCCTCACGTGAGCACCGAGGGGGTGTCAAGGGGGCACTGAGGGTGGGGGGGTCGGGGGGATGGGGGGGGGTGGGTCATGGGTGTCCCTGGGGTGTCATTTGGGGGGAGGAGTGTCCAAGGGGGTATCATGTGGGGTGTGGAGTGATGGGTGTTCCTGGGGGTATTGGGTGGGGGGTGATGGGTTTTGGGGTGATGGGTGTCCTGTGGGCGTTGGGTGGGTGGGGGTGATGAAATGTAGGGTGGTGGGTTCCCTGAGGGCACAACGGGGGGGCAAAGGGTGTGGGGTGGCGGGGTGACCCCTTGGCATGCGGGGCAGTGGGGTGGGGGGCATCCCACGGGGATGGTGAGTGATGGGCACCCAGCAGGTGCAGGGGGATGGGGCAGGGGGTGTTGGGGTATGTTTGGGAGCACAGTCAGGTCTGGGGAGTGTTGGGGTGTCTTTGGGGGGCACAGGGGGGCCCGGGGGGTGAGGAGCATGCTCGGGGGGCACAGCAGGATATGTTGGTTGTTGGGGTGTGTTTGGGGGGCATAGGGGGGGTGGGGGTGTCAAGGTGTGTTTGGGGGGCACAGTCGGGTCCGGAGGATGTTGGACTGTGTTTGGGGGGTACAGTAAGGTTGGGGGGTGTCAGGGTGTTTTTGGGGGGCACAGGGGGCACAGTGGGTGTTGGAGTGTGTTTGGGGGGCACAGTCAAGTTCAGGGTGTGTTTGAGGAGCACAGTAAGATTGGGGGGCACAGTATAATTGGGGGGTGTCAGGGTGTGTTTGGGGGGTACAAGTGGGTCTGGGGGGTGTTAGGATGTGTTTGGGGGGCACGGTCAGGTCCGGGGGATGTTTGGGGGGCACGGTTAGGCTCAGGGGGTGTTGGTACCCCCCCAACACTGGTGCTCCCCCAGGTTTGCCACGCGGGAGCGGGATGGGCTCCTGTTGTACAATGGACGTTTCAACGAGCGCCACGACTTCGTGGCCCTGGAGATCGTGGGGGAGCAGCTCCAGCTCACCTTCTCCGCAGGTATGGGCACAGCTGGCACTGCCTGGCACCGCCTGGCACCGTACCCTGACATCCTATGCCTGGCACTGCACCCTGGCTTCCCTGCCAGGCACTGCCATGGCTGGGCACTGCACCCCGGACGCCCCATCCCTGCACTGCCTGGCACTGCATCCTGGGCATCCCATCCCTGCACTACCTGGCACTGCATCCCGGGTATCTCATCCCTGCACTGCCTGCAGCCCATCCCTGCACTGCCTGGCACTGCATCCCGGGCATCCCATCCTGGACATCCCATCCCTGCACTGCCTGACACTGCATCTCCAGCATCCCATCCTGGGCATCCCATCCATGGCACTGCCTGGCACTGCATCCCAGCACTGTATCCTGGGTATCTTCTCCCTGGCACTGCATCCCAGGCACCCCATCCCAGGCATTCCATCCCCAGCTCTTCATCCCTGGCACTACCTGGCACTGCATCTTGGGCATCACATCCCAAACATCCTGTCTCTGGCACTGCCTGGCACCGCACCCCAGGATGTGCATCCTAGGCATCACATGCCTTGGTTCATGTCCCTGGCACTGCATCCTGGGTACCCCATCCCTGGCACTGCATCCTATGTGCCACATCCCTGGCACTGCATCCTGGGCACTGCCTGGCATTGTATCCCTGGCGCACATCCTGAGTAGCACATCCCTGGCACTGCCTCCCTGCCATCCTTTCCCTGGGACTGCATGCCATGCACCCCTGGCACTGCATCCCTGGCACTGCATCCCTGGCACTGCATGCCATGCAGTGCTACACCCCCGTCCCCCCGGCTCTGTGCCCGCAGGTGAGACCACCACCACCGTGTCCCCGTTCGTGCCTGGGGGTGTCAGTGACGGGCAGTGGCACCGGGTGCAGCTGCACTACTACAACAAGGTAGGGGCACAGGGGGGTGTTGACATACAGGGGGTATTGCCCGGGGGGGGTTATTGGCATGGGAGGCAGTGCCGGGGGGCATATTGCCCATGGGAGGGGACATTGGCACAGGAGATATTGCCCTGGAGGGGTTATTGGCATGGGAGGGGGGTGATCGGCATGGGGGCTATTGCCCAGGGGGCGTTGGTTGGCACAGGGGGTATTGCCCTAGGAGAGTTGTTACCCTGTGGGGGGGTGATTGGCACTTGGGGGTATTGCCTTGCGGGGGGGCTAGTTGGCACAGGGGGTATTGCCCTGGGTGGGTTGTTACCCTGACAGGGGGTGATTGGCACGGGGGTGGTTATTGCCTGGGGGGGGTATTACCCTGGTGGGGGGAGGGGGTGTTTGGGGGGGGGGGTGTTTCCGTGCCCCCCCCATGATGCGGTGCCCCCCCCAGGCCGTTATGGGGCGCTCGGGGGTCCCACAGGGCCCCTCGGAGCAGAAGGTGGCCGTGGTGGCAGTGGACGACTGTGACACGGCCATGGCACTGCGCTTTGGGCACCGCCTCGCCAACTACTCCTGCGCGGCCCAGGGCACCCAGGGGGGCACCAAGAAGTGAGGGGGGAGACGTGGGGGGGGAGGGACGTGGGACTGGGCCGGGGGGCGCAGGGGGTGTGGCATGAGGGCAGTGCCAGGGGGGTGTATTGCTCTGGGAGGTTTTTGGGCATAGGGGGGCAGGGGAGTGTATTGCCATGGGGGGTGTTATTGCCATGTGAGGGGGGCACTGGCATGGGAGGGTATTGCCCTGGGGGGGTTATTGCCACGGGAGGCACTGCCAGGGGGCTGTATTGCTCTGGGAGAGGGTTTTTTGACATTGGGGGGCAGTGCCAAGGGGTTGTATCGCCCTGAGAGTGTTATTGCCATGGAGGGGGGTTATTGCCATGGGGGGCAGTGCCAGGGGGGTATTGCCCTGGGGGGGCCATGGATTGGTGGGTGGGTGGGGGTCCCTGGGGCGTCCCTGGGGTTCCCGGTGGCTTGAGGGGTCCCTGGGGGGGTCCCTTGAGCCCCCACGGCTTTTGGGGTGACTGGGTGTCCCTTGGGGTTCCCTGAGGGTCCCCATGTGTTCAGGGGTCCCTGGGGGGGGTCCCTCAAACCCCAATGGGTTCCGGGGTGGGGGGGTGATCCTTGGGGTTCCCTCAGGGTCCCCATGGGTTTTAGGATCCCTCGGGGTCCCCATGAGTTTTGGGGTGTCTATGTGATCTCTGGGGTTCCCCATGTGTTACAGAGTCTGTAGGTGGTCCCTGATGGTCCCCATGAGTTATGGGGTCCCTGGGTGGTCCCTAAGGGTTCCCCAGGAGTTGGGGGGTCCCTGGTTGTCCCTGGGGTTCCCCATGAGTTGGGGGGCCCCTGGGCGGTCCCTTAGCCCCCGCCCCCCACCGGCTGCCGTCGGGCTCTGCAGGTCACTGGACCTGACGGGACCGCTGTTGCTCGGGGGGGTCCCGACGCTGCCCGAGAGTTTCCCGATCCGGAGCCGCCACTTTGTGGGGTGTATGAGGCACCTGCACATCGACCAGCGCCCCGTGGACATGGGCACCTTCATCGCCAACAACGGCACCCTGCCCGGTGGGCACGGGGGGCACTGGGGGCGCGGGGAGGGCGGCCCAGGGGGCTGCGGGGGGCTGGGAGCCTTTGCGGGGGGGGGGGGGAAATGGGGGGGGGGGTTATGGGGTGACACAGGGCAGCGGGGCTGTGCCCCCTGGGTGTGGGGAGGGGGACTGGGGTGGGGGGATGCCAAGGCTGGGGGGCTGGATGGGGCTGTGCCCCCTTTGGGGGTGGGGGGGTGTGCCAGGGGTGTGGAGGTCTCTGCCCCCTTGGGGTGAGGGCCAGGGGTTGCTGGGGGTGTGGGGGGGGTCTGTGCTCCCCGGGTGTGGGGTGGGAGGTCAGGGGGTGCCAGGAGTGGAGGGGGAGGTTCTGTGCCCCCTGGGTGTGGGGCGGGGGGGATGGGAGGGGGGTCTGCGCCCCCCCGGATGTGGCAAGGCAGGGTCGGGGGGCCGGGGGAAGTGTGGGGTGTGACCCCCCCGTGCCCCTCCCAGGCTGCCCGCACAAGAAGACCCTCTGCGACCCCACCACGTGCCACAACGGGGGCACCTGCGTGCACGAGTGGGGGGGCTTCAGCTGCCGCTGCCCCCTCGGCTTCGGGGGCAAAACCTGCCAGGAAGGTACCGGGGGGCACGGGGGGGTCACGGTGGGTGCCTGGGGAGGGGCCATGGGGGGCGGGGGGGGTCCTCGGGGGGAGCGAGGGGGTCCGTGGGGGAGTGAGGGGGTCTCATGAGGGGAGCGGGGGCTCCGTGTGGGGGTGGGGCCGTGGGAATTGGGAAGGGTCTCTGTGGGGTTATGGGGGGTTCCAGATGGGGGTGGGGGGTCCATGGATGGTTGCGGGGGGGTCCCTGAGTGGATGCGGGGGTCCCTGTCGGGTTGTGGGGGGTCCGTGGGTGGGTGCGGTGTGGGATGTGCCCCCACCCCACGGTCGGGGGGTGCCCGGGCTGGGTGCGGGGGGGAGTGTCCCGGGGCCGGGCACGGCCCCACGCGTGTTTCCCGCAGAGATGGCCGCTCCGCAGCGGTTCGTGGGCAGCAGCCGCGTGGCGTGGGCGGGGCTGGCGCTGCCCCTCGCCCTGCCCTGGCACCTCCGGCTCATGTTCCGCACCCGCCACCCACGGGGGGTCCTGCTGAGGGCGGGGGCGGGGGGGCGCCTCAGCCTCACCCTGCAGGTGGGCACGGGGGGCAGTGGGGGGCAACGGGGGGCAACGGGGGACACAGGGAGGAGCACGGGGGACACGGGGGGCATGGGGAACACGTGGGGGCACAGAGGGGCACGGGAAGGTCACGGGGGGCATCGGGGGGCACAGGTTGGAGCATGAGGGGGCACGGGGGGGAGCACGGGGAGCACGGGGGTATATTGCCCTGTGCAGGTTATTGCCGGGGGGGGATGGCAGTGCCAGGAGGTGTCACTTCTGGGGGGGACATTTGCCCTGGGGGGGAGGGTGTATTTCCCAGTGCCCCCCCAGGTTTTCGGGGTCCCTGACGTGTGCCTCCCCCGCAGCTGAGCGAGGGGCAGCTGGAGGTGGGGGCCTGGCAGGGGGGTGCCCGCCTGGCCGTCCTGCGCCTGCCCCAGGCCAAGGTAGACGACGGCGCCTGGCACCATGTGGAGCTGGAGCTGCGGGGGGGCGGGCCCGGCCGCGACCCCCCTGCCACCCTCCTCCTCCTCACCCTCGACTACGGCCGCCACCAGGTGGGGGGAACCCGCCCTGCCGACCCCCATGGGTGCCACCCCGGCACCCTCCGTGCCACCCCAAGGCACCCACGGTGGTCCCTGTGCCCCCCACAGGTGGTGGGCGATGTGCCCGGGGAGCTGCAGGGGCTGCGGCTGCGGACCCTCAGCCTGGGGGGGCTGCCCGGGGAAGGGGGAACCGTGGAGGAGGGGTTCCGGGGGTGCCTGCAGGTAATGGGGCAGGGGGGCACAGGGGGCACTGGGGGAATGAAGGGTACCGGGGGGCACGGAGGGGGCACCAGGGGGCCATGGGGAGGAGGGATTCTAGGGTTGCCTGCAACTGACGGGGCACTGGGGGGCACGGTGGGTGCGGGGTGGGCACAGGGGGCACGGGGGGCACAGGGAGGAGAGAGAGTGACACAATGCAGAGGGGTCTGGGTTGTCCCAGGGGGTCCCGTGTCACAGTGGGAGGACATCGAGGAGGGGTGACACCGGGAAGGGGTTCCAGGTGTCTCGGGGGGTCCCGGGTGGCACTGAGGGACACTGGGGGGGATGTGTCAGGGGTAGCGCGTGGGGTGGTCTTGGCTCTCAGTGGGGGGCACTGACGGGTGACCCCGCAGGGGCTGCGCGTGGGGGACGCGGCAGTGACGGCAGGTGCCCTGAGCCTGGCACAGGCTGCCCAGATGAACGTGGAGGGGGGCTGTGCCCTGCCCGACCCCTGCGACTCGGGGCCCTGCCCCCCCCACAGCTACTGCAGCAACGACTGGGACAGCTTCTCATGCCGCTGCCACCCTGGTGAGAGGGGACCCCCCGACTCCCCCCGAGACCCCCCAACACTGCCTGAGACCCCCCAACACACCCCTGAGACCCCTGGGACACTGATACACCCCCCCCAGTGCTACCCTGGTGAGAGGGGCCCCTCCGACCCGCCTGAGACCCTCCTGAGACCCCTCCTGAGACCCCACTGACAACCCCTTGACACCTCCGGGACACTGATACCCCCTCCAGTGCCACCCCAGTGAGAGAGGACACCCCTGACCTCCCCTAAGACCCCCTCAACATCCCCCTGACACCCCCGGGATACTGATACACCCCCCCGTGCCACCCTGGTGAGCAGCGACCCCCTCAACATCCCCTGACACCCCCTTGACACTTCCTAGGACAGGTACACCCCTGTGACACCCCTAGTGCCACGCTGGTGGACAGAGACCCCCCTAACATCCTCCCTGCCCCTCAGGGCACTGCACCCTCCCTGGGCACTGCCACCCCCAGCACTGTCCCCAGAGCACTGCCATCCCCTTGTTCCTGTCCCACTCTCCCTGGGCATTGCCACCCCTTTATCCCTGCCCCTCTGTCCCCGACCCTGCCCACCCGATGCCCGCTGTGTCCCTGATGCCGTGTCCCCAAGGCCATGTCCCCAACGCCATGCCCATGCCCAGGGTACTTTGGGGACAGCTGTGTCAGCGCCTGTGCCCTGGACCCCTGCGAGCCCCCGGGCACATGTGCCCGCCGGCCGGGCACGGCCCCCGGCTACGCCTGCCACTGCCCCGCGGGCACCTTCGGCACCCTGTGCCAGCACCGGTGGGTGACACTGCGGGGACACTGGGGGGGGGGGTTGGGGAGGGCAGGCAAGGCATGGAAAGGGCAGGGTGGGCACGTGGGAGGTACAGTGGGTGGGCAAGGGTCAGGGTGGGGATCCAGGGGGCACTCTGGGGGTCTAAGGGGTACTATGAGGGTGCAGGGGGCACTGTGGGGGCACAAGGAGCACTGTGGGGGTCCAAGGGGCATTGTGGGGGCACAAGTGTCACCGTGGGGGTCCGAGTGACACTGTGGGGGCAAAGGGGACACGGAGGGGTGTCCGAGTGGCCCCGTGGGGGTGCCCAAGGCGGTGCCCCCCCTGGTGCCAGCCCTGGTGCCCACAGGGAGGCCCAGCCGTGCCCACGGGGGTGGTGGGGACACCCCACATGTGGCCCCTGCAGCTGTGACGCCTCGAGGGGCTTCGACCCCGACTGCAACAAGACCACGGGCGAGTGTCGCTGCAAGGTGGGACTGGCACCCCCTTGGCGCCACCTGCCACTCCCTGCCACCCCCTGTCAACCCCGTGTGCCCTCAGTGACCCCCTGCCACCCCCTGTCATTCCCCCATGCCCTCAGTGACCTCTTGTACCCCCTGTCACCCCATATCACCTCCTGCCACCTCCTGGCACCCCTGGGCACCCCACTGCCACTCTTTGCCACTTCTTCAACCCCCTGGCACCCCTCTGCCACCCCGTGGCACTGTCTGCAGCCCCCTGTCACACTCTCGTGCCCACAGTGACCCCCCTGCCACGCCCTGCCACCACCTGCCACCCACTGCCACCCCCTCTGTCCCCCCATGCCCACAGTGATCCCCTGACACTCCCTGTCACCTCCTGCCAGTCCCTGTGACCCTCTGTGACCCCCTCGTGACCCCCTGTCACCCTCTGCCACCCCTTGTCACCTCCTGCCACTCCCTGCCCCCTCCCCACCATTCTCGTGGTGACCCCCTGTCACCCTCTGCCACCCTTTCCACCCCCTGTCACCCCGTGTCAGCCCCTGTGACCCCCATCACCTCCTGCCACCTCCTGTAACACCCTGTGACTCTCTGCCATACCCTGTCACCCTCTGCCACTCTCTACCACTCCCTGAGACCCCCTGTCACCCCCTGCCCTCCTGTCACCCCTTGTCACCCTTTGCCACCCCTGTCATCCCCTGCTCCCCAATCCCTGCCACCCTCTGCCCCCCCTGTGCCCGCAGTGACCCCCTGTCCTCCTCTGTCCCCCTTCTCACCTCCTGTCCCCCCCTGCCCCCCCCCATGCCCGCCGTGACCCTCTGTCCTCCCCTGTCATCCCCTGTCCCCCCCGCCCCCCCGTGCCCGCAGTGACCCGCTGCCCCCCCAGGACAACCACTACCGGCCCGCGGGCAGTGACACGTGCCAGCCGTGCGAGTGCTACCCCACGGGATCGCTGTCGCGGCGCTGCGATGCCACCAGCGGGCAGTGCCCCTGCAAGGCAGGGGTCATCGGCCGCCACTGCGACCGCTGCGACAACCCCTTCGCCGAGGTGACAGCGGGCGGCTGCGAAGGTGGGCACCGCACGGGGGCGCTGTGCCACCGCGTGTCACCTCCTGTCACCTTGTGTCACTTTGTGTCACTTTGTGTCACCTCATGTCACCTTGTCACTTCGTGTCACTTTGTATCATGTTGTGCCACTTTGTGTCACCTTGTGTCACTTTGTGTCACCATAAGTGTCCTCTATCACCCTGTGTCAGCCACTGTCCCCCTGTGTGCCCTGCTGTCCCTCTGTGTCCCACTGTCACCCTGTGTCCTTCTGCCCCCTGGTGACCCTGCTGTCCCCCGTGTCCCTCTGTCCCCCGATGAACCCGCTATCCCCCTGTGTCCCACTGTCCTCCTGCATGCCCTGCTGTCCCCCTGGTGACCCTGCTGTCCCTCTGTGTCCCTCTGTCCCCCTGGTGATCCCGCTGTCCCCCTGCGTGCCCGCTATGCCCCGGTGACACCCTTGTGCCCGCAGTGAACTATGACAGCTGTCCCCGGGCCATCGAGGCCAACATCTGGTGGCCCCGCACCCGGTTTGGGCTCCCGGCAGCCGCACCCTGTCCCAAGGGCTCCGTGGGTACGTGGGGACACAGGCACAGGGTGGGGTGGCACTGGGGACACTGTTGTGGCATTGCTGGGATGGAGCTGGGGGGGGTGTGACAGAGTGGTGACACCACTGGGATGGGATTGGGATGGTGACACTGTGGTGGCAGCAGTGGGACAGGGCTGAGGGGGTGACATGATGGTGGCACAGCTGGGATGGGTTTGGGGTGGGATGATACCATGGTGGCATTGCTGGGGTGGAATTTGGGAAGGTGACAGAGTGCTGGCATTGCTGGGGCAGGGCAGGGAGGTGACACTGTGGTGGCACCACTGGGATGGGATTGGGGTGGTGACACTGTGGTGGCACCAGTGGGACAGGGCTGGGACAGTGACATGATGGTGGCACAACTGGGATGGGTTTGGGGTGGGATGACACCGTGGTGGCATTGCTGGGATGGGGCAGGAGGGAGTTGTGGTGGCATTGCTGGAGTGGTACAGGGAGGTGACACCGTGGTGGCACCTCTGGGATGGGGTTGGGGTGGTGACACCATGATGACATTGCTGGGGTGGAACTGGGGGGTGACAGAGTGGTGGAATTGCTGAGGTGGGGTTGGGGTGGGATGACACCGTGGTGGCATTGCTGGGACAGGGCAGGGGGCTGACACAGTGGTGGCACAATTAGGATGGGCTTGGGGCAGTGACACTGTGGTGGCACCTCTGGGATAGATTTAGGGTGGTGACTATGATGGCATTACTGTGATGGGTTTGGGGTGGTGACACTGGTGGCACTGCAGGGTTGGGGTTGGGGTTGTGACACCGTGGGGGCACAATTAGGATGGGTTTGGGGCGGTGCAACCACGGTGCCACCACGGAGACCGAGTCAGGCTGGGCTGACCCTCCCGGCCCCCCCCCAAGACGGCACTGGGGGGGCACCGCTGTGATGGCACTGCCAGCACGACACACCCCCGTGGTGCCCTCCCTGCCGTGCCCGCGGCAGTGCCACCCGAGTGTCCCCCCCCAGGCACGGCCCTGCGCCACTGCGACGAGCACAAGGGGTGGCTGCCCCCCAACCTCTTCAACTGCAGTGCCCTGGCCTTCGCTGCCCTGCGCCCCTGGGTGAGCCGCGCCGGCACCCGCCACCGCACCCGTGCCCCCCGTGGTGCCACCGGTGCCACCCTGAGCCCGCGTGTCCCCCCCAGGCGGAGCAGCTGGTGGGCAACGAGTCGCGCTGGGACGCGGGGCAGTCGCGCCGGGTGGCACTGGCGCTGCGCGAGGCCACGCGTGGAGCCCGCGGGTACTTCGGCAGCGACGTGCGCCTGGCATACCGCCTGGCAGGGGCTCTGCTGCGCCACGAGAGCCGCCAGCGTGGCTTCCGCCTCGCCGCCACGCAGGACGTGCACTTCACCGAGGTGGGGCGGGGGCACCGCAGGGGGCATGGCCTGGGAAGGGGCGGGAGAGGGGTGGGAGAGGGGCATCAGGGTGGGCACGGCATGGGAGAGGGGCATTGTGGTGGGCACGGTGTGGGGAGGGGTGGGAAAGGGGAGGGGAGGAGGGTGGGAGGTGGAAGGTGGCATGGGGAGGAGGTGGGAAGGGAGAGAAGATACCAGGGTGTGGGGCACTCACTACCAGGGCGTGGGGCATTCACTACCAGGGCGTGGGGCATTCACTCTCGGGGTGGGGGGCACTCACCACCAGGTTGGGGGGCACTCACTGCCAGCGTGTGGGGCACTCCTATGTACAGGAGGAAGGTGCAGGGGGATGCAGGAATGTGGGTGCCAGGGGGATGCAGGAATGTGGGTGCCAGGGGGCTGGGCACCCTCCTGGCAGGGGGAGTTGGGGAAGGAGCCCAGACACTGATGGACACTTTTCTGTGGGTGCAGGGACCCAGAGGTGATGGGCACCCATCTGGGCGGGGGTGTTGGTGTGGGAGGTCAGATGCCAGGGCAATGGGCATCAGGACAGGGATGGACATTGGGGCAGGAGCCCAGACACCAGGGTGCTGGGCACCCTCACGTGGGGGCAGGATGCCGCGGGGGGGGGCCCCTGCCTGTGAAGGGGGGACTGGGGATGGAGGCCAACGGCTGGGGTGATGGGCACCCACATGTGGGTGTACCAGAGCCCAGACCCTGGAATCATGGAAACTCCCAGGAGGGAGGCGGTTGTGCAGAAGGCTGCATACCAGGGGGATGGGCACCCTCATGTGTGGGGCAGAAGAGCAGCTGCCAGGGGGATGGGCATCCACCTGTCAAGGGCATTGGTGCAGGGGATCAGAGTTCGGGGCGATGGGCACCCTCCTGGGGGCTGACACCGAGGCGGAGCCCAGGCCCCGAGGTGGGCTGTGGGAAACCCTCTGGGGCGCTGCGTCAGTGCTGGAGCCCATGCCCCGGCGTACTGGGCAACCTCATTGAGGGGGAAGGGCTTTGTGCCCTTCGCCTTCGGGGGGGAGGGGGGGTACAGCCCCCCCGTGCCCCGCTGTGGGTGCCAGGGCACCGCAGAGCCCTGCAGAGGGGTGGCACGGGGGGGTGGGGTTGGGGACCCTGTTCCCGGCCAGCAGGGTGGCAGAGCCCGATGCCACCACCCTGCCGTGCCTCCAGAACCTGCTACGGGTGGGCAGTGCCCTGCTGGACGCGGACAACAAGCGGCACTGGGAGCTGATCCAGCAGACGGAGGGGGGCACGGCCCAGCTGCTGCGGCACTTCGAGGAGTACGCGCGGGCCCTGGCACGGAACATGCCCCAGACCTACCTGAGCCCCTTCACCATCGTCACCCCCAACATCGGTCAGTGCCCCCCCAGGGGCTGGGCACAGGGGGGCTGGGGACACGACTGGGGACACGGCGGAGGACAGGGGGGACTCTGGGGACAGGCGGGGCTGGGGACACGCAGGGATGGGGTTGGGAGGGCTGGGGGTGTGGCTAGGCTGGGGGGGGGGGGGGGGGGGGCTGGGGGTGGGCTGGGGACGTGGGGACTCTAGGGACATGGCTGAGCTGGGGACAGGAGGGGCTGGGGACAGGGGTGGGCTGGGGACAGGGGGGCTCTGGGGACAGGGGTGTGGTGGGACATGTGTATTGGGGACATGGCCATGGATGTGCTGGGGACATGGACATGGGTGACTCTGGGGACATGTGTGTGTTGGGGACATGGTCGTGGGTGCGCTCAGGGGACATGGGTGCCACGCCAGAGGTGCCGTGGTGCCTCAGTGGTGTCAGTGGGTGCCAGGCTCCATGTTCCCTGCAGTCTCTGTGTGCCATGGGTGCTGTGCCATGCCATGGGTGACACCATGCTGTGCCATGAGTGGCACCATTCTGTGCCGTGGGTGCCAGGCTCCATGTTCCCCAGGGTCTGTGGGTGCTGTGGGTGCCATGGGTGACACCATGCTGTGCCACGGATGCCACGGTGCCACAGGGGCTCGGTGGGTGTTGAGGTCCATGTTCCTCGGGGTCTGTGGGTGCTGTGGGTGCCGTGGGTGCTGTGCCTTGGCATGGGTGCCACCATGTTGTACCATAGGTGCCACCATGCTGTGCCATGGGTGCCGTGGTGCCACAGTGGGATAGGTGGGTGCTGTGATCTGTGTTCCCTGGGGTCTGTGGTTGCCATGGGTGCCACCATGCCATGCCATGGGTGCCATACCATGGGTGATGCCATGCTGTGCCATGGGTGCCATGCCACAGGTGCCGCAGTGGGGTCAGTGTGTGCTGGGATCCGTGTCCCCCGGGGCCTGTGGGTGCTGTGGGTGCCGTGGGTGGCCATGCTGTACCATGGGTGCCATGCCATGCCATGGGTGCTGCAGTGGTGTCGGTGGTGCGGCTGGACAAGAGCAGCCCAGCGGGTGCCCGCCTGCCCCGCTACGAGGCCCTGCGGGGGGAGAAGCCCCCAGACCTGGAGACCACCGTCATCCTGCCCGACAGTGTCTTCTGGTCCCCCGAGGGCAGGCGTGAGTCTGGGGGGCACAGGGGGGCTGCCAGGGCTGGGGGGACCCCCTGGGATCCATAGGGCTGGCAGGGATAGGGACCCGCTTGTATCTATGGGGCTGGCAGGGATGGGGACCCCCTGGTATCCATGGGGCTGGCAGGGCTGGGGGAGCCCCTGGCATGGGTTTGGCAGGGATGGGGGGACCCCCAGCATCCATGATGCTGGCAAGAATGGGGAGCTCCTGGCATGGGGCTGGCAGGGCTGGGGGGACCCCCTGACATGGGTCTGGCAGGACTGAAGATGCCACTGTCACCATGAGTGGCCATGGGGGTGGCAGGGTTGGGGACCCCACTGTCACCATGGGGACTCCAGTGTAGCCATGGGGGTGGCAGGGGTGGGGACACTGCTATGGCCATGGGGGTGGCAGGGTTGGAGACCCCAGTGTCACCACAGAGATCCCTGGATGGCCATGGGGTGACAGGGTTGGGGACACTGATATGGCCATGGCGGTGGCAGGGTGGGGGACACTGGGACGACCCTGGGGACAGTGACACATGATGCCACCCCCCACCCGTGGCCCCCAGGCCCCTCCAGCGGGCACGGCCAGGCCCCGCCAGGCGCAGGCGGGCAGGAGGAGGAAGAGGAGGAGGAAGAGGCCGAAGAGGAGGAGGAGGACGGCGAGGTGACCGTGGTGACCCGGCACAGGCGACACCCGGCCCTGGGCGAGGGCCAGGCCATCGCCAGCGTCATCATCTACCGCACCCTGGCAGGGCTCCTCCCGCCGCGCTTCGACAGCGACAAGCGCAGCCTCCGGTGCCACCGCCGAGGGGGGCACGGGGGGCACGGGGGGGGCACGGCGGGCTGGGCGAGGCAGGGGAGATGCCAGGGCGAGGGAGCCCATCGGGAGGGTACCGGGAGGAGGGACTGGGGGGGTCCTCAGAAAGCTGGGCAGGGATGGGAAAGGGGGCACATGGGGTGGCTGAGGATGGGGGCACAGGATGGGGAAGGGGCCCATGGGTGCTCGAGGATGGGGGACACGTGGATTGCCCCAGGATGGGGACACAGGGTGGGGAGGGGGCCCATGGGTGCCCAAAGGTGCCCGTGGGGTGCTCAGGGGTGGGGGAAGAGGGGATAGGGGGTGCTCATGTTGGGGGGGGGGGCACAGGGGATTGGACCCATGGGGTGACAAGGGTAAGGGGGGCACAGGGGATTGGGGGTACCCAGGGGTGAGGGTGCAGGGGGAGGGGTCCATGGGGTGCCCAGGGGTTCCCAAGGGGTCGGAAGACCAGATAAGGAGGGTCCCAGGGGTGCCCATGGGTGAGGGCACCAAAGGGAGACTGGGCCAAGGGGTGCCCAAGAATGGGGCCCATGGGATGCCAAGGGGTGCCCAAGAGAGGGGCACAAGGGATAAGGAGGGGGCCGCAGGAGTGGGGGCACAGGGGGGAGGTCTTGTGGAGGGGGGTGCAGGGGACGGTGCCCATGGGGTGCGCAAAGGAGGGGCCACAGATGAGCGGGGTGGTGCCCGCGGGGTGCCAGAACATTGTGGGCCACCAAGGTGGGATTTGGGGTGCCCCGACTGGGTCCCCTGATCCCGGTGCCCCACCCCAGGGTGCCCAAGCGCCCCATTATCAACACACCCGTGGTCAGCATCAGTGTCCACGCGGGGGGCACGGCGGGCACAGGCACCCCCCGGGCACTGGCCAAGCCCATCACCCTCCAGTTCCGGCTCCTGGAGACGCAGGAACGCTCCAAGCCCATCTGCGTGTTCTGGAACCACTCCCTGCGGTGAGGGGGGCGCAGACACCCTGGGGGGACAGGGACACTCCGGGGGGACAGGGACACTGCGGGGGGGGGGGGGGGCGGCACAGGGACAGCCCAGTTGATAGGGACACCTGGGGGGAATGGGAACACCCTGGGAGTGACAGGGACAGCCCAGGGGGCACAGGGACAGCCCAGGGGGTACAGGGACACCCCTGTGGGTGTAGGTGTGTCCCTGACGTCCCCGTGGTGTCCCTGCGGGTCCCCGCAGGATGGGTGGCACTGGGGGTTGGTCTGTGGCCCGGTGGGTGTGGCTGTGTCAATCATGTCCCCGTGATGTCCCCGCGGGTCCCCGCAGGACGGGGGGCGCAGGCGGTTGGTCGGCGCGGGGCTGCGAGGTCGCCTTCAGGAACCGGAGCCACGTGAGCTGCCAGTGCCACCACCTGACCAGCTTCGCCGTCCTCATGGACATATCCCGCCGGGAGGTGGGACAGGGGGACACCGGGGGCACGGGGGGACATAGGGGGACATGGGGAGATGGGAACACCAGGGACATGGGGACATGGAGGGACATGGGGGGATGGGGACACCAGGGACATGGGGGGACACTGGGGGACATGGCAGGACATGGGGGGATGGGTACACCAGGGGACACGGGGACATGAGGGGATATGGGCGGGGTGGGGGACATGGGGGCATGGGAACACCAAGGACATGAGGACATGAAGGGACATTGGAGGGGTGGGGGACATGCGGACATGGGGACACGAGGGGACATGGAGACATGAAGGGATATGGGGACATGGGGGGGACATGGGAACATGGGGGTATGAGGATACCAGGGGACATGGGGACCATGAGGACACAAGGGGGATGGGAACACGGGGGGACATGGGTGACATGGGGGGACATGGGGCTATGGGGCCATGGGAACACAGCGGTATGGGGACAGAGAGGACATGGGGACACAGGGGAACAGATAGGACACAGCAACCCTGGGGCATGGGGTGACCTGGGTCAGGGCCCTGGTGGGAACACAGGGACATGGGGGGGAACAGATGGGACACAGGGGACGTGGAAGGACACAGGGGGTGGGGACAGGGCCCTGCTGGGGACACGAGGACATGGGGCACACGAGGTTGGTGGGCAGTTCCAGGCATGGGGGCAGGGCTACAGGAGCAGGGGAGGGGCTGGTGAAAAAGGGGAGGGGACAGGGGTAGGAGGGTCATAGCAGAAGGGGAGGGGCCTAATGGGGCAGGGTCAGTGCAGGAATAAGTGCCTGTGAGGGTGGGGCTGAGGAAGGTGGGTGGGGCTTCAGTGGGCAGACCTGATCAGGATGGGTGGGGCTCCCTTGGGGCGGGGCCAATAGCAGGTGGGCAGGTCAGTCTCCAAGAGGCAGGGGCAATGTGGGTGGGGATTAAAGGGGCAGGGCTGAACAATGTGGGCGGGGTTTCACACTGGGGTGTGGCATTGCGGGTGAGGCCTTCCAGGCCCAGTGACTGGATGGGCTGTACGGAGGGGGTGTGTCTCTCTCCATGGGCATGTCTCTGTTGATGGGCATGTCCATGGGCATGTCTGTGTCCATGGGCGTGTCCTTGGGCATGTCCGTGTCAATGGGCATGTTCATGGGTGTGTCCCTGTGGATAGGTGTGTCCATGGATGGCTCCATGGGTGTCCATAGGCGTGTCCCTGTCTATGGGTGTGTCCATGGGTGTGTCCATGAGTGTGCTCATGGATGTGTTCATGCGTGTGTCTATGGGTGTGTCCATGTTCATGGGCAAATCCATGGATGTGTCCATGGGCATGTCTCCGTGGATGGGCATGTCCATGAGCATGTCCCTGGGCATGTCTCTGTGGATGGGCGTACCCATGGGCGTGTCCATGGGCGTGTCTCTCCACAGAACGGGGAGGTGCTGCCCCTGGCGGCCCTGACCTACGGCTCTCTGGGGGTGGCCCTGGCGGGGCTGGTCCTGGTGGTGCTGGCCCTGGGCACCCTGCGGGGGCTGCGCTCCAACCGCCACAGCATCCGGCGGCACGGTGCCGCCGCCCTGCTCCTGGCACAGCTCGTGTTCCTGCTCGGCATCAACCAGGCCGAGCTCCCGGTGAGCAGGGCAGGGACAGCAAAGGGGGGAGACAGGGAGGATTGGGGGATCTGGATTGAGGGTTGGGGAATTCACAGCTTGGGAGTGGCTGGAATGGGTGGGGAACGGGAGGAGACTGCTGGGATTTGGGGTTTTGGGGCTGGGGGTCCACCACTGGGGAGGTTGGGGGTGCGAGGGTGGGAGGGAAAGGGTGAGGAATGGTGGGATTTAGGTGTTGGGGGTTGGGGATTCACAGCCTGGGAGGTGGGTGGGTGGGGCTGGAAGGGGTGGGGGAAGGGTGGGGACCGGTGGGATTTGGGGGTTGGGGATCCACCACTGGGGAGGTTGTGGATGGGTGGGTGTGGGTGAAATAAGTGGTGAGAGGGGGGAGGGGTGGGGAATGGTGGGATTTGGGGGTTTGGGGTTGGGGAGGTGATGGGGAGTGGCTAGGGCTGGAACAGGTAGGGTAAGGGGGGAGGGGTGGGTTTTGGTGGGTGGGACTCGTTGGGTGTGGCCGGTGGGCATGGCAGTGACGGGATGTGGCCCAGAGGGTGTGCACGGTGGGGGCCATCCTGTGCCCGAGTGTGGTGGGCAGGCTGGAGCGGGCAGGGCTGGCTGGGGGGGTCAGTGAGCACCCAGTGAACCCAGTGAGGGGGTGTGGGGACCATCCTGCTGCAGTTCCTGTACCTGGGGGTGCGTGGGTCTGGGTGGGTGGGGTCAGTGACAATGAGTGACGGGTGTGGGTGTGTCCCAGCTGGCCTGCACAGTGTAGGTGGGCTCAGTGACACCCAGTGACAGGGTGTGGGGACCATCCTGCTGCAGTACCTCTATCTGGGGGTGGGTGGGATGGGTGGGTGGGGTCAATGACACCCAGTGAGGGGGTGTGGTGGCCCATCTGGCGGCCATCCTGGGTGGGTGGGCTCCATGACACCCAGTGACAGAGGTGGGGGTGTCCCAGCTGGCCTGCACAGTGGTGGCCATCCTGGGTGGATGGGACTGTGTGGCTGGGCTCGGGGCACACCCAGTGATGGGGGTGGGGGTGTCCCAGCTGGCCTGCACGGTGGTGGCCATCCTGCTGCAGTTCCTGTACCTGGGGGCGGTGGGCTGGGGGCTGCTGGAGGCCCTTCACCTGTACCGGCGCCGCAGCGAGCCCCGCAGCGTGGACAGGGGGCCCATGCGCTTCTACCACGTGCTGGGCTGGGGGCTGCCTGCCTTCATCACCGGTGAGCGCCGCCCTTGACCCCGCCCCTGGCCCCACCCTCACCCCATAGCCCACCTGGTGCCGGGTGCCCACCTGGGCCAACGCCTTCTGGTGGCCCCGCCCCCTTCTCAGTGATGGCCCCGCCCCCTCGAGCCCCCTCCCCAATCAGATTGATCTCATTTCCAAGTGTAGCCCCGCCCCCAGGATATAGCCCCTCCCTCAGGTGCATCTTGCCCAGCATAGCCACACCCCTGGGTATAGCCACACCCCCAACAGGATAGTCCCACCCAATCTAGAAGAGCTCCACCCCCAATAGGGAATAGTCCTGCTCAATCCAGAATAGCCCCACCCCAATCCAGAGTAACCCAACCCCCAATCCCAAATAGCCTCACCCAATCCAGAATAGCCACACCCCCAATCTGTAATAGCCCTGCCCCCATTTCAGAATAGCCCCACCCATTCCAGAATAACCCCACCTCAATGCAGAGTAGCCACACCCACTTTGGAATACCCCGCCCCAACCCAGAATAGCCCCACTCAATCCCAAATTGCACCTCCCCAATCCAGAATAGCCCCCAGTGCCCCCCTGCCCTCCATGGGTCCCCTCCATGCCCCTAAAGCACCCCATGGGTGCCCCTTTGTCCCCAATGCCCCCCAAAGCCCCCCATGGGTCCCCTCTGTGCCCCCAAAACCCCTCATGGGCGCCCTCTTATCCCCAGCGCCCCCCTGCCATCAAAGCCCCACTCCGCGTAGCCCCGCCCCTGAAGCAGCCCCACCCCCGACCTTACCCCCTCACCTGCCCCACCCATGCTCCATTTAGCCCCTCCCCTTAGCCCCGCCCCCTCTCAGCCCCGCCCCTGCGCCCCCTTTTGTAGGCCTGGCCGTGGGATTGGACCCCGAGGGTTACGGGACCCCCGAGTTCTGCTGGCTGGCCCTGCACGACCCCCTCGTGTGGAGCTTGGCCGGCCCCGCCGCCGCCGCCCTCGCCGTGAGTGGGGGCCGGGGGGGTGGGGGGGTGGGGGAGACCCCCACCCATCCGCCCCGCTCACCCCCCTCGCCCCCAGGTCGGCATCTTCTTCCTGGTGCTGGCGGGCAGGGCCGCGTGCGCCACCCCACAGGGCTTCCAGAAGAAGGGCTCGGCGTGAGTGCCCCGAGGGGGCACCCACGGGGGGGTTGGGGGGACCACCGGGGACAGGGGGCACCCACGGGGGGCAGGGGGCACCCACGGGGGGCTGGGGGCACCCATGGGGGGCAGAGGGCACTCACAGGGGGCTGGGGACAGCCACCGGGGGCTGGGGTGGACCACTGGGGGCGGGGGGCACTCACAGGGGGCTGGGGGCACAGCAGACAGGGGGGCATGGGGGGCATTGGGGGTATGGGGGACACCCATAGGGGGCGGGGGGGCACAGGGGGCAGGGGGGGAACCAATGGGGGGCACTGGGGGCACAGGGGGACCCATGAGGGCCAGGGGGAGCACCCAAGGAGGGCAAGGGGGATTGGGGGACAAGAGGGCACCGGTGGAGGGTATTGGGGGTACTGAAGGGGACAGGGAGGCACTGGGGACAAGGGGGCACTGGAGGGGTAGCAGGGGGACCCATGGGGGGTAAGGGGACATTTGGGGCAGGGGGCATTGGGGGCAGGGCAATACTGGGGGCTTTAATGCCCAAGGAGGGCATTAAAGGAGGGAGAGGTTGGGGCATCTGTGGGGTCAGGGGGGCACAGGACACCCGTGGGGGGGCAGGGGGGCACTGGGGACAGGGGGGTATGGGGTGTTGGGGTGCCTGTGGAGGGTGGGGGGCACAGGGCATTGGGGCACCCACAGGGGGGGAGGTACAGGGGGCTGTGACATGGGGTGACACTGGGGTGACATCGGGGTACTCAGGTTGGGGGTGTCACAGTGGCCGTGCTGCTGCTGTGGTGCTGTTGGGACGCTGTTGGGTGGCACTGGGGTGGCAGGTCAGGAGTCCGCACGGCGGCCATGCTGGTGGTGTGGGTGACACTGGGGTGACACTAGAGTGCTGTTGGGTGACACTGGGGTGCTGTTGGGTGCTAGGTCGGGGGTCCGCACAGCAGCCGTGCTCCTGACTGTGCCCAGCCTGGCCTGGCTGCTGGCCCTGCTGTCGGTGAACAGTGATGCCCTGCTGTGCCACTACCTGTTTGCTGCCTCCAACTGCCTCCAGGTCAGCGGGCACCCCCATCGCTCCCTGGGACCCCCTGAAAGCACAGAACCCCTACCCTGGGACCCCCGGAGAGCCCACCCTGGGGACCCCCAGGGACCCCTAGAGAGCTGAGAACCTCCACTCCTGAGACCTCCAGAGTCCACCACCCCTGGGACCCCCAGAGCCCACCCTGGGACCCCCAGAGAGCCCTGGCACCTCCCCTCCTGGGACTCCCAGAGCTCACAGAGTCCCAAACCCATTTTGGGGGCACCAGTGGGCATGGGGGGGGTCCCTTACTGTATCCAGGGTGCCCATGGGGGGCACCCAGTGTGTGTGGGGGTCCCTTCACCCAGTTTGGGGTGCCAAAGGGGTGCCTCCCATGTCTCAGGGAGCCCCCTCAGGTGACACTGGGGTCCCCCACGAGGCTGTCCGACCCCTCCCCTGTGCCCCCCATGCCCATGTGCCCCCCCGTGTGCCCAGGGGCCCCTCATGTTCCTGTCCTGTGTGGTGCTGAGCAAGGAGGTGCGGAGGAGCCTCCGCCTGAGCTGTGCCCGCCGCCACCACCCCCCACTGGCCACCAAGGCCACCCTGACACCCGTGAGTGCCGGGGGGGATAGGGGGGGCACGGGAGGGGGCATGGGAGAGGGCACGGGGGCCTCGGGGCACCCCTGTGATGTCCCTGTCCCCGTGCCAGCTCCCCGGGGGTTGCTGGGGGTGCCGGGGGGTCTCAAGGCAGTCCCTGGAATGACTGCGTTGTCCCTGTCCTTGGCACGGGGGGGCTGGGGAGCCCGTGGCTGGGCTGTGGCATCCCTGTGCCCGTGCCAGACCCCCGGAAGGCATGGAGGGCTTGGGGGGACTGGGGGCAGCCCCTAGCACGGCTGTGTCGTTCCTGTCTCTGGCATAGGGGGCTCAGAGGGCCTTGGGGTAGCCCCTGGCAGGGCTGCGATGTCCCTATCCCCGTGCCAGCCCCCCGAGGGACAGAGGGGGGCTCGGGGCACCCCGGCACGGCTGTGATGCCCCTGTCCTGTTTCCAGCCCCCCAGGGGGCTCGGGGGGGCTCGGGGCAGCCCAGCCGTGACATCCCTGTGCCTGTGCCAGGCGTACAGCGGGGACAGCACATATGTGGCAGGGCCGCTGTGCCCCCCCCCGGGCGGGGGGTCCTCGGGATCCCTGCACAGCACAGCCCGGTCAGGCAAGAGCCATCACAGCTACATCCCCTTCGTCAGGAGGTGCGGGCACGGCGGGCATCGCCCGTGGCACGGGGAGACAATGGGGATGGCACTGATGTGGCAGGATGGCGGGGTGGTGGCAGGGTGCTGGCAGGTGATGGGGGAGTGGGGTGACATGGCCCTGGGGTGTTGGGGTGAGAGGGTGAGGGGGGGGTGGGTGGTGGCAAGGTGGGGGTGTGACACAGCACTGCAGTGGCAGAGTGGCAGAGTGGTGGCAGGATGGCACGACTCAGGGGTGGGGGGGCGACATGGCAATGGGCATGGGGGGTGGCAGGGTCATGGGGTCGTGGGGTGGGTTGCAGGGGTGGGGGCACGGCACTGGAGTGGCAGGTCATGGAGTGGTAGAGCGGTGGGTTAAGCAGTTGGTGGGTTGGGGGCACTGCACTGGGCTGGAGGGGTGGCACAGGGATGGAGTGGTGGGATGGTAGTGGGTTTGGGGTCCCAGCAGGTGTCTGGCAGTGGTTTTGGGGTCCCAGGGGGGTGTCGGTGGTGTTGGGGTGTCTGTCGGTATTTTTGGGGTTCCGAGGGGTGTCTGTCAGTGGTTTTGGGGCCCCAAGGGGGTGCCAGGCACTGACACTGCCATGTGTCCCCCCCCAGGGAGGACTCGGGGCTGGCGGGCAGCCCGGGGCTGCTGCCCGAGCCCGGGGGACTCTTCCTCGATGCGCAGGAGCAGCCCGAGGGTAACGACCCCCACCTGTGGGGGGGCACGGGGGGTGTCCCCGGGCCCCCCCTGAGCCGTGACCCCTCCAGAGCACGACACGGACTCGGACAGTGACCTGTCCCTGGACGACCCGAGCGGCTCCTACGGCTCCACCCACTCGTCGGACAGCGACGACGAGCCCCCCCCCGGCTGGGACCCCCTGCCTGGGGCTCCCCCGCCCCCCCCCGGCCCCGGTAACGGCCCCCCAACAGCCAACGTCCGCCCACTGGGGATGGGGGGACCCTTGGCCTGACCGGTGCTGGGGAGGGGGGGGGCACCCAGTGGGGTTGGGGAGGGTCCCTGATCCTGGCTTGGTGTTGCTGGGGGGTACCCAGTGGGTACAGTGGGTATGAGGGGAGTCCCTCCCCCAGTCTGGGGTGCTGAGGGGGGGCACCCAGTGGGTTTGGGGGGACCCTGGCCCTGGCTCGTTGTTGCTGGGGGGCACCCACGGGGGCCCGAGGGGTCCCTGGCCCTGCCCATCCCACCAACCCCCTGCCTGCAGGTGCCGCCCGGATGCCCCCGGGGTGCCCGTACTGGCCCGGGGAATTCGTGACGACGGCGAGCGAGAGCGAGGGCGTGGCAGGCACCGAGGGGCTGCGGGTGCAGCCGGCAGGGGGGGCAAGGGGCCCCCCCCGGGGAGACCCTCCCAGGCCCAACGGGGAAGCCCTGCCCAGGGAACCCCTGCTGCTGCCCCTGCCCCACCCACACAAAGGTATGGGCTCGAGGGTGCCCGGTGGGTGCCAGGGTACTTTTCAGGTGTCCATCAGGTACCAGAGCTTCCTGTGGGCACCCAATGGGTGCCCAGGTGCCCACTGGACACTCTTTGGGTGCCAGGGTTCTTTTTGGGTGCCCATCCAGTGCCAGAGGTCCTTTTGGACACTCCTTGGGTGCCAAGGTGCCCATTGGATACCCTTTGGGTGCCAGAGTTCCCTTTGGGCACCCAATGGGTGCCAACATGGCCATTGAGCACCCTTTGGGTGCCAGGGTCCCTCCCGGGTGCCCTTTGGGTGCCAGGGGGTGTGTGTGGGATGGGAAGCCCCCAAACCTGCCGGGTGATGCCCCTTCCCCTGCAGGGATCCTGAAGAAGAAGTGCCTGCCCCCCATCAGTGAGCGGGGGGGCAGTGCCCAGCGCCCCGGGCCCCCACCGCCGCCCCCTGCGGGTACGGTCGCCTCGTCAGGCAGTGACGGGGGTGCTCCCCCGGCCCCCCGGGCCCGGCAGAGCCTCGAGGAGCAGCTGAGCGGCCTCACCCCCATCGCCATGAGCATCCGCGCAGGCACCGCTGATGAGGACTCCTCCGGCTCCGAGTGAGTGCCAGCGTGTGCCCGGGGTGCTTCTGGGTGTCCATTGGGAGTCCTTGGGGTGCCCGGGTTGGTTTTGGGTGTCCATGGTGTGCCAGGGTGGTTGTTGGGTGCCCATGGGGTGCCATGGGTACATCAGGTGCCAGGGCTCCCATTGGGTGCCAGGGTGTCCAAGAGGTGCCCTTTGGGTGCCCATCAGGTGTGAGGGTGGCTTTGGGTGCCCATTGGGGGGGTCTTTGGGTGCCAGGGTTACCTTTGGGCACCCACTGGGTGTGAGGGTGGTTTTTGGATGCCCATCAGGTGCCAGGGATCCCACTGGGTGCCCATTGGGTGCCACGTTGCCCAAGAGGTGCCCTTTGGGTGCCAGAGTTCCCTTTGGGCACCCACTGGGTTCAAGGGTACCCGTGGGGTGCCCATGAGGTGTTCTTTGGGTGCCAGGGCTCCTTTTGGGCGTCCGCTGGATGCTCTTTGGGTGCCCACTGGGTTCCCACTGGGTGCCAAGGTAACTGACAGGAGACTACTATGTGCCAGGGCTCCTCTTGGTGCCCATAGGGTGCAAGAGTTCTCATTGGGTGCCCACTGGGTGCCCATTGATCACTGAGTGCCCCCATTGACCACCCAAAGGGCACCTGTTGGGTGGCCATCAGGTCTAGCAGCACCTGTTGGGTGCCCATTGGGTGCCCGTTGGATATTGGGGTGCCCCCCAGGTGTCCAGTGGGCATTGGGCTGTCCATTGGGTGTTAAGGTGCCCACTGGGTGTTGGGGTTCCATTGGATGTTGGGGTGCCTGTTGGGTGTTGGGGTACCCCTTGGGGTGCCCGCTGGGTGTCTGTTGGGTGTTGGGGTGCCCATTGGATGTCAGGCTGTCCATTGGGTGCCCATTGAGTGCTGGGGTGTCCATTGAGTCCCCACTGGATATTGGGGTGTCCATTGGGTGTTGGGGTGTCCATTGGGTCCCCACTGGATATTGGGGTGCCTGTTGGGTGTTGGGGCATCCCTTGGGGTGCCTGTTGGGTGTCTTTGGGGTGTCCATTGGGTATTGGGGTGCCTGCCAGGTGCCCACTGGATATTGGGGTGTCCACTGGGTGCCCACTGGATATTGGGGTGCCCATTGGGTGCCTGTTAGACACCCGCTGTCCCCCCTTGGTGGATGAGGGTGCCCAGGGGGGGTTGGCACCGTTGGCACTAACCCGGCTTTTCTCTCCTCCCCCCCCAGATTTCTGTTCTTTAATTTTCTCCATTAACTCATGGGGGGGTCCTGCCTCCCCTCATCGCCCCCACCCCTTCATCATCCCTCCAGGGCGGGCACTGGGTGCTGGGGGGCATAGAGGGCACTCTGGCACCCCCCCCATCACGCATCTGTCTGTCTTGTTTTTTATCCCCCCCCCAACACACACTTTGTGCCAACCCCCCCATTTTATCCATCCCCTCCCTCCCCCCCCCAGGAGCGACGAGACCTCGATCTAACGGGGACCCACCCAGCGGGAACTGCCCCCCCCAGTGCCAGGGGGGCACCAGGACACTGGGGGGGGGAGGGCACCGGGACTGGGGGGGGGGCACCAGGATTGAGGAGGAGGGGAAAGGAGCCACAGCCCCCCTCCCTCCCCATTGCACTTTGGATCCTGGCAGGGATTGGCACCTTGGGAAGGGGGGGTGGCATCAGGTGCCCCCCCTCACCCTCCCCCCCAGTCATCATCCCCCACGCCCGGCAAAGGGTTTTATTTAAAAAATACATGAAAATACAAAAAAAAAGGGATTTATAACCCCCTACCATTGTGCCGACCCCCCAACCCCCCCCAAGGTGCCAACCCCCCCTCCATTGTGCCAATTGTGGTGCCAGTTGTGGTGCCAACCCCCCCGGGGTGGGGTCAGGTGGGGGGTGCAGGGATTTCTGAGCCCCCCCCATAGTTACCCATCCCCCCCCAGGGGTGGGGGTTAGGGGGGGCACCCAGAGGTGGGGCTTGGGGGGGGAGGAGAGAGAACCCTGCATGCTGAGGGGTGGGCAGGGGGGTTTCTATGGCTGACGGGACCTTTTGTAATTAAAGCAAAACCCAGAGGGTGCCTCGGGTCCTTCCTGTGGGGGGCCTGGCTCTGCCCCCCCACCCCAAAACCCTGTGGGTGCCTTGGGTCCTTCCTGGGGAGCCCCCAGCTCTGATCCCCCCACCCCACAATCCAACTAGTGTCTTGGTTCATCCCTGGGGGAGCCCCGGCTCTGATGCCCCCTCCCCCCAAAACCCAACTGGTGTCTTGGTTTGTCCGTGGAGGTTCCTAGATCTGAGCCCCCCCAACCCCAGCTTGTCCTTGGGGTGTCCCAGCTCTGCCCCCCCTCCCCCAAAATCCTGTGGGTGCCTTGGCTAGTCAGCCGGGAGGGGGGGGCTCGGCTCTGCCACCTCACCCCAAAACCCAGTTGGTGTCTCGGTTCGTCCCTGGGGGTCCCCGGCTCTGCCTCCCCCCAACCCCAAAACCCAGAGGGTGCCTTGGTTTGTCCCTGGAGGGGGTCCCGGCTCTGCTCCCTCCTTCCCTCCCCAAAATGCAGAGAGCGACTTGGTTTGATCCTGGGGGGGGGCCGGCTCTGTCCCCCCCCCCTCCAAAACCCAGAGAGTGCTTTCGTTCATCCTTGGGGAGGGTCCCGGCTCTGTCCCCCCCCACCGCACACCAGGTTGGAGGGGGGGGGCGGGCACGCCGAGCCCCTCCGGTGGGCGCGGGGGGGGCCCGGGGGTGTCACCTTGGGGTGCTGCTCGCTGCCGTCTTGCGGGGGGGCCACAGGCGGGCGGGGGGGGATCCCGCCTTGCAGGCCGAGGCTGCGGTGGAGGGGGCCCCCCGCGCCCCTCCCGTGCCTGCAAAGGGGAGGGAAACTGTGGGGAAACTGAGGCACGGCGGGAGGCCCCCGCCCCCCCAGAGCCCCCCCAGCCTTACCTCGGGGGGTGGGGGTCCTGCCGCCCGCCGCGGGGGGCCGGGGGGGCACCTTGGGGAGGGCGCCGGGGGCCGGAGGGCGGCCCGAAGGGCCCGGGGGGGCCGTGCTCCTGGTGTGGGGCTGGCGGGCGGGGGGGGGGCAGGGAGTGGGGCCCCCTCTCGCCTTGGGCTGGCCTGGGGAGAGAGGGGGGCATGGAGGCACCGCCTGGGCCTCCCCGTGGGCGCGGTGTCCCCGTGTCCCCCCCCTCCGTTCGTACCTGCCGTGGCCCCCCGGGGGGGCTCCGACCTGCCCCGGGCACTGCTCCCCTGCCCCTGGGTGAGGCACGGCCGGGGCGGGCCCCCGCGGCTGGGGGGGGGTCCCCTGACCCCGGGGGGGCCCTTGGGCGCTGCCGTGAAGTGACGGCTGGGGGAGGTCTGCAAAGAGGGGGGGACGACACACAGGGACGGTGCTCAGCAAGGGAGTGGGGGTTCGTGGTGCCCCCTGGGGACAGGGACGGGACAGGGGGGACAGGGGGAATAGGGGGGACATGGATGGGGACAGGGTGGACTCCATGGATGGGGATGGGGGGATGGGGGGACAATGGGGGACAGAGGGGACAGGGGGGACAGGGGGACATGGATGGGGACAGAGGGGCATGGGGGACGGGGGGGGACATGGGGGACCTGGATGAGGACGGGGGGACAGAAGAGACAGGGGGACTCCATGGATGGTGACAGGTGGGATGGGGGGACGTGGATGGGGACAGGGGGGACAGGGGAGACATGGATGGGGACAGGGGGGACCCATGGCTGGTGACAGGGGGGATGGATGAGGACACCCCCCGGGGTGTCACTTACTTTGGGGACAGCGGTGGCAGCAGACCCCCCCCGGGGCTTGGCGGGGGGCGGTGCCTGGGACTCCACGGTGGGCAGCAGTGCCCTCACCGGGCTGTCCTTCACCACGAACGTCTGGCGCCGGGGGCTGCGGGGCGTGCCTGGGGGGGTGGCGGCGGGGCCAGGGGGGTCCCCGGGGGCGGGGGGGGGCAGGTGACACCCCTCGAGCTGGGCGGCCAAGCGAGTGGCCTCCCGCACCATCTCCTCCAGGCGGGCACCTCGCAGGGGGCTCCAGCGCCCGCTGCCCCCTCCCCCGCGCCGGGACCCCCCGCCCGGGCTCTCCTCGTCCTCCTCTTCATCCTGGCTGGGGTGGAGAGGAAGGGGGGCTCAGCACTGTCCCCACCACCCCCCCGCTGTCACTTCCCCACCACCGCAAGGGTGGCATGGATCCCCCCACCCCAGCGAGGACCCCACTTATGGCACCCCCGGGACCCCAGAACCACATCTGGGGAGGGCATGTCCACGGGACCCCTAGGACCCCACCCATGGGGTGACACATCCCCCAGGCCCCCCAGGACCTCACCCACAGAGTGACACATCCTTCAGGACCCCCAGAGCCACATCCATGGGGGGGGGGTGGCATGTCCACAGGACCCCCAGAGCCACATCCGGGGGGAGGCATGTCCACAGGACCCCCAGGAGTCCCAGAACAACATCCATGGGGTGACACATCCTTCAGGACCCCCAGGACCCCACCCACAGGGTGACACATCCTCCAGGACCTTCAGAACCACATCTATGGGGTGACACATCCCCCAGAGCCACATATATGCGGTGGGATGTCCCTAGGACCCCCAGGATCCTGTTTGTGGAGTGGCACATGCCCTGTGACTCTGCCCATAGAATACCATGTCCCCCAGGACCCCAAGGATGAGGTGCCATGCCCCCCCCAACCCTATCCATGGGGTGCCCTGTCTCCCCTGTCCCCATCCATGGGGTGCCCTGTCTCCCCTGTCACCCAAATCCCATCTATGTCCCCCCGTCCCCCCATGTCCCCATCCACAGGGTGCCATGTCCCATCTGCCCACCAAATCCCATCCATGTCCCCCTTGTCCCCCCATGTCCCAGTCATGTCCCTTCTGTCTCCCATGTCCCAACTATGGGGTGCCCTGTCCCCCATGTCCCCATCTGCGGGGTGCCCTGTCCCCCAGTCTCCCCTCTCCACCTTGTTCCCCCCCCATGTCCCCCTGTCTTGCCCATTCCCATCCATGTCCCCCTGCCCCCCCCTTGTTCCCCCCCATGTCCCCCCCACTCCCATGAATGTCCCCCCATCCTCCTCTCCCCCCTGTCCCCCCCATGTCCCCCGTCCCGCCCTGTCTCCCAGTTCTCATGTCCCCCCCGTCTCCCCCTGTCTCCCTCATGTCCCCCTGTCCCCCCTGTGCCCCCCTGTCCCCAGCCCCCCCGTACCTGTCAGAGGGGGACAGGATCCCGAAGTCAAAGCTCTCCTCGGTGACAAATCGCACATCTGGGGGGACACTGGGGGTGAGCTCCTGCCCCCCCGCGTGGGGAGGGGACACGGGGGACACTGGGGGCGAGCCCCGGCCCCCCTGCACGGGGAGGGGACACAGGGGACACGCGGGGCTGGCACTGTCACTGTCACTGCCGTACCTCGGTCCTCGGCCATCGCCTGGGCTCGGGGCTGCTGAGGGAGCAGGGGGGTCACCACCAACCCCGGCGGGGTCCCCCCGCCAGGGCCTGACCCCCCCCTCGGTGTCCTCGACCCCCCTGGGGACCCGGTGGCACCGGCCAGTGCCCGGGTGGCACCGCCTGTGCCAGGCACCGCCAGGCTCCGCGTCATCGGGACGGGGACAGGGACGGGGAGGGGACACCGGGGACCCCCGCCCGGGGGACTCACAGTGCCGCACCCCCAACCCGGGGGTCCCCAGTGCCACATTGGGGGGGTCCCAGCCCCACAACTCGATCCTTGGGGGTCCCCAGTGCCACAACAGGGGGTCCCCAGTGCCACATTGGGGGTCCTAGTCCCGCACCCCCAGCCCGGGGGTCCTCGGTGCTACATATGGAGGTCCCAGCCCCACATTCCCAGTTCTGGGGATCCCAGTCCGACAGTGGGGGGTCCCAGCTCCCACCCCGGTCCTCACAGCCACACTGGGGTGTCCCAACCCCACACCCCCATCCCTGGGGCACCTCAGCCCTATCCTAAGAGGGTCCCAGCCCCACCCCCCCACTCTCCCCGGGTTCCCCAGCCCCACACTAAGGTGGTTGCAGCCCCGCACTCCAACTCCACGTCACCCCATTCCTGCATGGGGGGTCCCAGCTCTGCACTCTCATCCCTGGGGGTCCCCAACCCCATGCTAGGAGAGTTCCAGAACCACGAGGGGGTCCCAGCCCGGCACCCCCACTCCTGGGGGTCCCCAGCCTCACACTAAGGGGGTTCCGGCCTCACTGGGGGGTCCCAGCTCCACATTCTGATCCCTGGGGGTCCCAGCCCCACACTGAGGGTCCCAGTCCCACACACCCATCCCCGGGGGTCCCAGACCTACACTAAAGGGGTCCCAGCCCCACATCCCGATCCCTGGGGGTCCCAGCCCCACACTCCTATCCCTGGGGGTCCCCAGCCCTACACTAAGGGAGTCGCAGCTCCACCGGGGGTCCAGCCCCTCACCCTGACCCCTGGGCGTCCCAGCCCCACAGTAAGAGAGTCCCAGCCCCACACCCCCAACCCCGCGGTTCCCAGCCCTACATTAAGGGGGTCCCAGCCCCAGCGGGCGGTCCCAGCCCCACATCCCGATCCCTGGTGGTCCGAGCCCCACATCCCGATCCCTGGTGGTCCGAGCCCCACACCCCCATCCCTGGGGGTCCCACCCCATAGTAAGAGGGTCCCAGCACCACAGGGGGGTCCCAGCCCCGCAGCCCCATCCCTGGGTGTCCCCAGCCCCGCAGCCCCATCCCTGGGTGTCCCCAGCCCCACACTAAGGTGGTCTCAGCCCCCTCTGGGTGGTCCCAGCCCCGCACTCCGACTCCGCGTCACCTCATCCCCGCACGGGGGAAGTCCATCCGTGCTCCCCGCGGTCCGCCCGTGTCCTCCTGGCCGGTTTCCCCGCCGGGCCCCCCCCGAACCCCCCAGGATGGTCCCGTGTCCCCCCCTTATCCCCCCCACCATCCTCCCCTCTCACCGCCCCCGGCTCCCGCTCCGCGCTCGCCGCGGGGGGCGTGGCTTCATGCAGGGGGCATGACCTGATTAGAACCGCCCCGCCCCTTGCGGCTCAACGGAGGCGGCCCCGCCCCCTCCACCCATTGGCTGGCCCTACTTACGCCGCGACGCCGATTGGACAATCTCCTCTGCGCGCCTCGCGCTGATTGGTTGTCCCTCTCCCGCTCGCCCCGCCCTCCATTCATAGAGACAGGAAGGGGGCGTGTCCCGGAAGCGCGCGCCCGCCATGGCCGCCGCGCCAGCCGTGCCTCCCGACTCGTGGCAGCCCCCGACGGTGTCCATGGAGACCACGTAAGGAGCGGGCCCGGGCCCCCCGCCGGCACCGGGAGAGGCCCCGCCCACCCCCTAGCCCCGCCCCCTGCCGCGGGGACATCAGGGACAGCGGGGGCTGCCACCCCCACCCCCCTACTCCCGGTACCAGGCTCGATACTGAGCCCCCCCCGGGACCGGGAAACCTCCGGGGTCCATGAGCCCACAGACCATTCGTTGCCACCAACCCCCGGTGTCCCCCTGGTCCCTCCTTGTACCGGGCAGCCCCCACTGACCGCGAGCTCTCGGGACCGGGCAACCCCCGGGGTCCCTCCTGAGCCACCCCGGTGTCCGTGAGTCCCCGGGATCGGGCAGTCCCCGGGGTCTGTGAGCCCCCAGACCCTCGGGTATCAAACTAGACTCCGGTGTCCGTGATCCCCGGTGTTCCCCCCGGTCCCAGGCAGCCCCCGGTGTCCCCCAGCCCCCCCAGTGTCCACCGGTGTCCATGACCCGGGGTGTGTCCCGGGCAGCGCCTGGTTCCCCGGTGGGCACGGAGAAGCTCCCGGTGTCTCCCAGTCGGGGCAGCCCCGGTTACCCCCCCGGGACTGGAGACCCCTCCGGTGTCCCCACCATGTCCCGTTGTTCTCGGTGTCTGCCAGTCCCAGCCCCGTTATCCCCCAGTCCCGGTTGCCCCCCCAGTGTCCCCCTGGTGTCCCGTTGCCCCCCATTGCCCCCCGATCCCCTCCCTTCCCCCCACTGTGCCTCTGCCCTGATCCCGTGGAGTCACAGTGGGGTGAGCCCATTTCCTGGGACCATTCCCTTTCCCACTGTTCCCATTCCTGGGATGGGATCCCTGGTGCTGGAGCTGCACTGGCAGCACAGCCCCCATTCCCAGTGCCATTCCCATTTCATTCCTGGTATTCCCAGTGTCCCAGTGTCCCTGGTGCTCGAGCTGTCCTAGCTGCACAGCCCCATTCCCATTCCCAGTATTCCCATTCCCAGGATGGGATCCCTGGTGCTGGAGCTGTACTGGCTGCACGCCCCCCGCACATGTAAGAACTTTGCCGAGCTCAGCCGTCGTGGGTACTACAATGGCACCAAGTTCCACCGTGTCATCAAGGACTTCATGGTGCAGGGTGGGGACCCCACGGGCACCGGTGAGCATGAGACACCCCCCAGGATCCCCCTGGGACCGCCCCCCCCGGCGCTAGGGATCCCGCTGACCCCCAAAATCCTCCCCCAGGCCGCGGCGGTGCCTCTATCTACGGGAAGCAGTTTGAGGATGAGCTGCACCCTGACCTGAAGTTCACTGGTGAGTGGGGGGGGACCCCCGGCACACTGAGAGCCCACCTATAGCAGGGCTGGACCCCTGGGACCCCCGGGAAACTGGGAGCCTCCCTATAGCAGGGCAGGACCCCTGGGACCCCCAGAATCCCCAGGACCCCACCTATAGCAGGGCAGGACCCTGGGACCCCACATATAGCAGGGAAGACCCCCAGGATCCCCAGGACCTCACCTATAGCAGGGAAGACCCCCTGGGGCCCCTGGGATCCCCAGGACCCTGGTCAAGGCGTGGGATATCCACCAGGACCTCAGGACCCATCCATAGTATGACACATCCCCCATATCCCCAAAGACCCCATCCATGAAGGATCATCCATAGGAATGTCATGGCCACCATCATGTGAGAACCTTGGCCATGGGGTGAACCATGGCCCCCTGTGTCCCCATCCTTGGATTGAAATGTCCCTGTGTCCCTCAGGACCCCAACCATGAGGTGCCATGTCCCCCCGACCCCGTTCATGGGGGATCATCCATGGGATGGCATGTCCCCCATGGTACCAGGACCTTATCAATGGGGTGCCATGTCCCTTTGTATGGGGTGCTACATCCCTGTGTCCCCACCCCTGAGGTCCATGTCCCTGTATCCCCATGTCCCCCCCAAAAGGTCCCTGTCCCTGTGTCCCTCAGGCACTGGGATCCTGGCAATGGCCAATGCAAGGCCAGACACCAATGGGAGCCAGTTCTTCCTAAGGTTCCCTAAGATCCCTCCACTGGGTGACATGTCCCCCAGGACCCCATCCATTGGGTGCCATGTCTTTTCCATCCCTTTCCATGAGGTGCCATGTTCCCATAATACCAAGGCCTTGGCCACGGGGTGCCATGTTCTCTGTGTCCCCATTCCTGAGCTCCCATGTCCCTAAGTCCCCATCCATGAGGTGACGTGTCCCTCATGATACCAAGACCTTGGCCAAGGTGTGCCATGTCTCCTCTGTCTCCATCCTTGGAGGTGACATGAACCTTAACCAAGGGGTGCCATGTCCCCATGTCCTCCCCCTGAGGTCCATGTCCCTGTGTCCCCATCCCTGAGGTGACATGTCCCTGAGTCCTCATCCATGAGCTCCCATGTCCCCTGAGTCCCCATCTATGAGGTGACCTGTTCCCTGTGATACTAAGACCTTGGCCATGGAGTGCCATGTCCCTCCCTGAGGTCCCTGTCCCCATGTCCCCATGTCCCTCAGGCGCCGGGATCCTGGCGATGGCCAACGCGGGGCCGGACACCAATGGCAGCCAGTTCTTCTTGACACTGGGCCCTGCGCAATGGCTGGATGGCAAGCACAGCATCTTCGGGCGCGTGTGCCAGGGCATGGGCGTGCTGGGCCGCCTGGCCATGGTGGAGACCAATGCCCAGGACCGGCCCCTGGATGACGTCAAGATCATCAAGGCCTATCCCTCGGGGTAGAGGGGGCTGCGGGACCCCCCCCGCAAACTGTACAGCTTTGTTGTAATAAAAGAGGTTGGGTTTTGGGGGACCCCCCTGGAGTAGGGTGTTTAGTGGAGGCTGGAAGGGGGGAGGGGTCTCTGGTGTGGTTGGGACCCCTCCCCAAAAAGGGGGCTGGGGGGGCCCCTCACAGGGGCGTGGAGCTGCTGGGGGGGGCAGGGGGCCTAAATTTCCCCTCCCTCTGTGTTGTGTGTCCCCCCAAAGTGTCCTGGGACCCCTCAGGGTGTTCCCCCATCACCTGTGGGATCACTGGGCTTTGAGTGGAAAGGGGGGAAAGCCCCCCTGCCAAAAAAAACCCCTGGGCTCCCCACGTGGCACTGGGGACCCCCAGAGCGGCACTGGGGTCCCTGTGCCAGCACACATTGGGTGCCCCCTCCCTGGCTCTGGGTGACCCCCCTCCAGCACTGGGTGTCATCCAAAGTTGGGTGTCCACCCCAACATTGGGTGTCCCCCCCCTCCAACTTTGGGTGTCCCCCTGGTTCTGGGTGTCTCCCCCCAGCTCTGGGTGTCCCCCCACCCCACCCCCAGGTATAGGTGTCCCCTCCAGTTTTGGGTGTCCCCTTCCCCAGCTCTGGATGGCCTCCTGCTCTGAGTGTCCCCCCCAATACTGGGTGTCCCTCCTGAGCTCAGGGTGTCCCCCCCAAAACTGGCTGTCCCCCCCTGGCTCTGGGTAAACCCCCTGGGTCTGGGTGTCCCACCCCAACTCCCAGTGCAGGACCTGGGACAGTACTGGGAGGCACTGGGTGATCCTGGGGATGGTGTGGGATGGTACTGGGATCGACTGGGGGGACTGAGGCACCCTGGGTCTGCAGACCATGGGGCTGGGGGGGCACTGGGAGGGGCTGGTTGAAGGAGAACTGGGGGCATTGAGGGGGGTTGGGGCTCTCCCTGGGGGGTGGGCTTTACCAGAGGGGTCCCCACAGCACTGGCGGGAGGGCACTGGGAGGACTGGAGGGGGACTAGGGGCACCAGGAGCCCCTGGGGAGTACCAGGAGAGGGGGAGGGGGCAATACTGGGGGGTACTGGGAAGAGGGAGCCAGGTCTAGGGGGTGGTTTGGGGGTGTCTCGGCATCTGGAAGCAGCCCTGGGGGTGATGCGGGGGTTGATACAGGCGGTCTGGGGGTAACGGGGTCTGGGGGTGATTGGGGGGGTGGTACCAGCAGTCTGGGGGATACCGGCAGTCTGGGGGTGATCCCAAGGGTCAGTACAGGCAGTCCAGGGGTATCGGCAGTCTAGGGGTGATCCCGAAGGCGGTACCAGGGTCGGGGGGGCTGTACCAGCAGTCCAGGGGTACTGGGGTCTGGGGGTGGTCTGGGGGGCAGTACCAGTGTCTGGGGAGTACTAGGGGTCTGGGGGTGATCCAGGGGTCCAGGGGGTATCGGGGCCTGGGGGTGCTCCCAGGGGCGGAACTGGCAGTCTAGGGAGGACCAGGGGTCTGGGGGTGATCCCTCCCAAAATTCAGTACAGACAAAGATTCCTCCCAAACCAAAGGTGCTTGCACAGAAAGCTCTTGCTGTCCATGTAGTTCCGAGAGTGGTGCACCAAGTGCACACGAGAGATGGAGGGTCAGGCCTTTATTTCCTGGGTGGAAGGGCAGTCATTCACTGGCAGGAGCGCCGCGCTGCAACGGGCCGTCCGAGGGCCAAACTTCAAGATGGACGAAGATTCCTCCCAGACCAAAGGTGCCCACCCAGAAAGCTCTTGCTGTACACATAGTGCCAAGAACAGAGCACCAACAGCAGGTGAGAGACAGAGGGTCAAGGCTTTCTTTCCTGGCTGGGAGGGCAGTCATTCGCATGGAGGAGAGCCGCGCCGAACTCAGCCATCCGAGGCCCAAAAATGAATACGGACGAAGATTCCTCCCAGACCAAAGGTGCCTGCCCAGGGGCTGGGATTACGGGTCTCCATCTGCCAAGCCACCAGCTGCCCTTTCAGATGGGTGGGCCAGGGCTCTCCCAGCCCCACCACTCGCCGGCAGCACTCCGGTGATTGCCATGTGTGCTCCCTGCGTGTGCGTGAGGGTCTTCATCCTGTTCCCTGCTCATCCCTCAGCACATTCCCCCGGAAATATGCTGTCCTTGCCACCATTGGGGCTGGGATATCCAGCAGCCCTGCTGGAGCCACGTTCCTCTCTCGCACTGTGCATTTCCCCGGCAGAGAACGGCACAGCTAGAGCCCCTGGGCTGCTGCCCAGCAAGGCTCATCTCCCTATCCTGGGGAGCTGGGAGAGAGGCATTCTTCCAAGGCAGATGAAGAAGCACAGGGGAGAAGCCACAGAGGAGGAGGAGACACGTGTTCCCTGAGGAAGCTGCAAGCAGCCCAGAGAACTGCGGACAGCACGGGAAGATGTGAAAGGTGCAGCAGGGAATAAGCCCGCAGTTCCCAAAAGCCCAGCAGTGGGTGTGCAGCAGAGCAGGCGATTGCAACTGGGGAGGGGAGGACTGACTGCACTGCGATCTGACCGGGAACAGCCCCTGCCCATGAGTGAGGCCCCAGAGCCCAGCAATGCTCAGAATGCCATTGGCTGAGGGAGTCACAGGGGTTGCTGCTGGGGGAGGGAGAAACCCAAAGAGAGCTGTTCAGGCACTGAAAGAACAGTTAATTTCCCTCTCCTCCTGCTTCCTTTGCTCCCCAAGAGAGTCGTTTCTGGCAGCTCTCTTCTCTCAGGACAGGGTGGTGATTTCTGAACCTCTCAACAAAAAGGCAGGTTGGTCTCAGCATGAACTTTGGCTATCTCATCCTCACTTTCTGCCTGGGCCACCTCCTCCCTATATCCTGGCTTTTCATCAATGCATCCTTCTTCCTCCCAGAAAACACTCAACAGCCTTTTCCGGGCCTGTGGGGAAATATCACTGAATAGAGAAAAATGGTTGTAAAGCTCGTACTTGCCCTCTTGAATGTGTTCACTCCAGACGATCTTACTCCTGTAAGGAAATGAAGAGAGAAAGAAGAGAAAGTTCAGATCCCTCCTCTGTCTCTTCTCTCCCCTTCAAACTCTCTTGCTATCCCTCTCCCTCTTGTCTTGTCTTCCACATGCTGCCACCAGAAGACATCTCGGCTGTCTCTGCAGTCCCACATTTATCCCTTTCTAAAGAAAATCAGCAGATCTTTTCAAAGCTACCCCAGGCCTATCAAGCTCTCATCTCACTAACTTTAATAATGCGTCCCATTCTGCCTCCAGGCTGCCTCTGGCACGACTTCCAGTTTTCCCCAGGCTGGCAACATATTCAGGGCTCCCTCTTTGCAGGATCAGCATTGTGTGTTCTCAGGGAGTGAGGAACTCAGGGATTGAGGAACCCTCATAATTTACGGAGGTGACAGAGATGAGAAAGAGAATGAACTTTTTGGCTGTGCCTCTGAGTGCCCCCCAAACTGCTGCAGATATGCTGGTTCCAACACATCCAGTTCAGGTGTGACAGGCTTTTCCCAGATCCTCTGAGCAAGAAGAGCAGGAGGAGGAACACAGCAGAGCTCACTTAAGGAGACTGCATCTCCATGAAGCCCCAAGCAGGTGGGAGATGCCATACCACGTCTGAGCTTTCTCTGGGAGAAGTGCCTCGCCGTAGCACTGGTACCACAGCCCCTGACAAAAACCCCCGTGGTCATTTTCCCCAGCAGAAGTTCTCCTGCTGCCAGCAGGGATGCTCTCCGGGACAGGCCGGGAGAGGCGAAGCCCAGGGTGCTGAGCCCGGAGGGATGTTCTTCGTCTCGTGCCCCTCAACCATTGTCACAAGCACGTGCCTTGGAGGACAATTTAGGAGTCTCCACGTGCCAACAGAGGAGAGATGTGAGGGAAGACGGTGGCGGTGAAAGGAGCTCATGGCCTCTCAATCTTGAGCTCCCCCATACCAACCCGCTCCCCTGCCACCCAGCCCAGCCCCACTGCCTCCGCGGTGAAGGTAGGGAGGGAGAGGAAGGCAGAGGAGGGAGAGGAGGCGGAGAGGAGGCGGCCTGCCTGGAGCAGAGAGCCGGGGCTGGCAGAATGGGACACCGGGCGGCAGATCGGTGAATGCGGCACTGGTGGGGAGCGCAACTGGTGGCACTGGCCGCGGTTCTGCTCGGTGCGCAGGGCTGGCAGCTGGGGACCGTGTGGCAGCGACTGGCGTGACTGTGCAGGTCCCTTGAGGCTGCCATCCTGCCTGGCAGGTTCTTTGCAGAGCTCTGCCCCCGAACTAGCCTCCTGTCCATCCTTCCCTCTGCTCTATAAAGCATTCCCTCGGAACACTCATTGCTCTTTTCTTTGTCGAGCCGTTCCTGTTTCTTTGCTTTACTCTCTGTCCTTCAGAGAACTCCTGCAGACCGTCCTTCCTCTTTCCTACCTTTCTTTCTCTCTTTGCTTTGCTTAGTCCCGCAGCTTTCCATTCTTAAGTAACTCCACCAATCCCCCTCACTTTCCCGCACTCATCTCTCCAGCAAATACTAATGGACACTTCCACTACTGCACACCTTGACATCCTCTTAAAATTCTTCTCCATATGGTCCTGACCACTTCTGTGCCCTTTGTTCTGGGAAACAACATCCGGTGCAAAAAGCACTTCTGACGGTTTTTCTTCTTTATCTCCCCGCCAGTGTCTGCAGGCAGAGCCCAGGTGCAGCAGGACCCATTGGTAGAGACCACCGAGGGCAGTGAAATCACCATCACACACAAACATACGGATCGGTGATTTTATCCATTTCTACAAGCAGCTCCCGGGCCACAGCCCCGAGCTCCTGGCACGCGCTGCTAAAGGGTCCAGAGAGCTGCGGGCGCCAGCGGGGCAGCTGCCGGTGTCGGGAGATTGTCATTGGACCATCCTCTGGCTCTCCGGGCCCTGTCATTGGGACGCAACTCTGTATTCCTGCGCCCTGCTGGACACGGACTCATTGACACATTCGTCTTTGGATCTTTCAGGGGATTTTCTTAGAAATACACCACTCGGTTAGTTGGTTCTACAGCAGAGGAAAGTAGCGCCCCTCTGAAAACAGGGCGTTTTAGTCCTACACAGAGCACAGGCTTGTGACAGAATGCCGGAGTGCCAAGTGACGTACACAGCACAGGGCAGCTCAAGTCTGGGCATATTGCAGTCAGCTACAATATGTGTCCTTAACTTCTCCTGAGCAATCGTCTCCTGAATAATCTCATCCACTCCAGACAGGCACCGCGATTCTCTGGTTCATGAAGATCTTTCTCTTTGGATAGGAGGAGGGGTTCTGGCCTTGCCTTGAGTGTGGAAAAGACACAGTCAGGGTCCGCAAGACTTGGAGTGTCACTCGTCAAAGATCTGAACGCTACATCTCAGACGTGTGCTGAAGTAGCTGTGAAGGCAGACAGCGCAATGCAGCGAGGTGTAGCCAAGCCAGACCAAGTGCTAGAGGTGGTGAGAGAGGAGACAAAAGCAGTAAGAAAGGAGAGACCTCCAGCCATGTGGCCCTGGAATCAGGAAGGAAGGTTGCACGACCATCTCAGTACAAATGCAGACTCCTCACCTTTCTGTAAAAGTGTTATCTCTACTCTGACACCCAAGAGGGCAGAACCATATCAGGAGCACACAGGCATAGGGAGGGTGAACTTGATGCTGCGCTTCCACCTGGGAAGACTGTGAAAACCTCAGTTTCCCGTGGTGTGGTGGGTGCCTGGGATCGCGCTGGAGTTGATCTAGAGAAGGGGTTGGGATTAAGGGTCTCCATCTGCCAAGCTGCCAGACCTCCAGCTGCCCTTTCAGATGGGTGGCCAGGGCTCTCTGGGATGTGCTCCTGTGGACAGAGCTCCCCGTTTCCATCCCTCAGGCCGTGGGGCATCTCAGATAGTGGCAGAGCAGGTGGCAACCCACAAGGGCTGAGGTACATTCCGGCTCTGGGCGTGGCAGCAGAAGCCCCAGGAGATACTGCCCCTGCTGCCATGAACTCTCTGCGTGTGTGCAAGCGAAGGACTCGTGTGTCTGAAAACCCTTGTGTGACTGAGCAGTGAGCCCCCGCCAGGGCACCACCGACTCTTGGCACACTGGCCATCCACCAGGACCCCAGAGGTCATTTTCCAGCACTGCTGTGCAGCATGTCATTCCCAGTCTGTCCGTACATCTGGGGTTGCCCCATCCCAGGGACAGAATCCGGCACTTCCCCTTGTTGAACTTCCTCTGGTTGAGGATTGCCCAAACCTCGGATTTGAGGTCTCTCTGCAAGGCCTCCCTCTTCCATGAGGCCCTTGAGTCCATGGGAATCTGCAGTGTTCAGTGTTCCATGTGTTACGAGGCCCCATATTGTCACAATGGCACTGAAATGAGAGAGGATCTCCTTTCTAAACGACTTCGTAAATCGGAAGTTTTTTCTTAGATAAAAATCCTAATCAACAAAGGGATTTGCAAAGACCATGGTAGTGGTCTTTCCTTTTAAGACTACAATTAGTTTTAGGAGAGAGAATGTAGATGCTACATGGAAACTAATAGTGTATCATCTGCCCATCTTCAAGAAATTAGCTTACATGCCTCAGAAAATTTGTTTAATAAGAGACTGTTCTGTTAAGAAGAAAGTCAATTATACATTGTTTAAGCAAATGGGAAGTTCTAAGACACATGTCTTAGCTGGTCCTAGAACATTTAGTTTAGGGGTTAGAGGTCGGATAGATCAATCAGAGATGCTATGAGGCCTGCTAAGCGAGAAGACACTCTGCGAAAATGACTGCCCCCCCAGAAGAAATGGACGCTAGATGGCAGTCTTGCTCAACGAATACAATCCCAGATGCTATTTGAACCAAAAATCATAACAGAATTCTGGACTGCTTGTGAAGGTGAGGGTCTTTCAAGTATCACTGTATTTATATTCCGAAATTCATACTGATTCTTTGATTCATGCATGGCAGAGTACCCCCATGAATCCCCAGCTGGCATCTTAAAGAAATGTTCCATCCAATGGTTTCTGGTCATTGGGTTTAATTCTTTTGTTTTATCCCCTTGATTCCATGAAGTTCCAAAGATATCCCAGGGTTTGTTTAATTCCATGAGGTCCCGCACTTCCCAATGACGTCCCTTAATTCCTTGGTTTTCTGTATTTTCCCAGGGAACATTTGCTTCCGTGGTGCAGGGCAGAGTCACGATGACCGCTTGATTCCGTGAGTTCCCCCAGTGTCCCAGCAGTCCTTTGATTCCATGAGAGCCTGCAATGTTGCAGTGGGTTGACCTTGCCTGGATGCCAGGTGCCCACCAAGCCACTCTATCGCTGCCCTTCCCAGCCAGACAGAAAAGACAGAAAAACATGGAAAATGACTTCTACCTTGAGATCAGGCACTTTACTAAAGCAAAAGCCAAAGTTTGTGCATGCATAAGTGAAGAGGAAAATAAAGAGATTTATTCTCTACTTCCCATCAGCAGCCATGCTTTGCCACTTCACAGGAAGCAGAGCTTCACCACACAGAGAGGCCGCTCAGAAGGCAAGTATTGTAAAAAAATTGATTCCCCCTTTCCTTTCGTGAGCTCTTGTAGCTGAGCTGACGCCATATATTCTGCAATATCCCTTTTGTCCATTTGGCTCAACTGGCCTGCCTGTATCCCCTCCCATGATCTTGCCCCCGATTCAAGGGAGGAAGCTGACAGTGCCCTGCTCAGCAGTTGCCAAAGCACTGGTGTGATTAACCCCTTTGTAGCTCCCAATGCAAAGCACAGCACTGTGATGTCTGCAGTGAGAAAATGAACTCCAGCTCAGACAGACCCAACACACGTGGGATTCTGAAATGTCTCAGGGTTTGTTTGGTTCTACGATGCCTCCCGTGTCACTGTGACACAGCCCTCAGACCTGGCAGTAGAAAAATAAATCAAAAAATTCAGAAGAAATCATCTTGCCCTTCTCACCATCATGTCCTACGACCGCTACGTGGTCATCTGCAAAGCCCTGCACTACAGGACCCTCCTGGGCAGCAGAGCTTGTGCCCACGTGGCAGCAGCTGCCTGGGCCACTGGGAAGAGGGTCTGGCCCTGGAGCTGCAGGAGTTGCCGCCTGAGCTGATGATCTCCTGAGCAGTCCAGACACGCAGTCACTATCCCTGTCCTCTATTTCCTCCCTTTCTTGCTGCACGACCAGAAACGACTGTGCTGCTCTGCTGGGCTGGGGAGGGGCAGGAAGATGGGGGGACCGGGGAGGGACTGGACTGGGCAGTTCCAGGGAGTAGAAAACCCCAGTGTTCATCTGAAGTGTAGGAGTGGGCAGGGTGGGAGCACTACAGGGCAGAGGTGGCTCCAGGCTCTGGGAGTGGCAGCAGGAGCCCAGGGAGACCCTGCCCCTGCTGCAATGAACTGCCTGTGTGTGTGCGAGGGAAGGACTCGTGTCTCTGAACACCCCAGTGTGTGTGAGCAGTGCATCAGTCCAGCTCAGAGGTGGACACCTCTCAGAGCCCTGACACATTCCTTTTGTGACTCCAGGAAAGCCCCCACTGTGCCAGGGAGTAACTAGATCCTTTGCTGTCACCCTCCTGGCGTCCTGTGCAATGATGAAACTAGAAAAGGTGATCATCTTACCCTTTTAATTTTCTAAGGGGAGAAATGTCACTGCTGGAAAGAAGTGTCACTGAAGAGGTGAGAAGAGGGAACATCGTTTCCTTAAGCCTGTTCCTCAGCAGGTTCCCCAGGAGAGAAAGACTGGAAGTTTTGGCTGTGTGGTTCAGTTGGTTTATCAACCTGGGCACTCCACGGGCAACAAGAGCTTCCTGTGCTGGCACCTTTGCTGTGGGAGGAATCTTTGTTTGATGGCAATTTTGGGAGTCGGGCTGGCAGTTGGGAGGCAGGGCTGAAAACAGGAAACAGAAGCCGTTATCCGAAGGAAAGAAATATTGGAAACTTTGGCTTTGTGGTTGTACCAGGGTGAATTTATGCTGATACTTTTGGTCTGTGTTTGCCCCTACCACCTGTGAAAGCTTTGCTTTTTCCCTGCCAATATATGGGAAAAGAAACCCTGATAAGTGGGAAAGGTGTCCTTGAAGAGAGCTTCTTGTATGAACTGTTTTAATTGGTGTCCTGTTATTGGTTACTTTTCCGTCAAGGGCATTTGGAGGAGAAAGTGATGATGGAGTGAGGACTCAATTAAGATAGACCCCAAAACACACTGAGCATGCGTGTGTGGATTTCCGAAGTTCTCACGCGTATGCAGAAGAAGATGCACGGAGATTTTTTTCAGCACCAAAATACACAGGCAACAACACACACTCAGACACACCTGCAAACACTGAGAAAAAATCAGACCCTTAAATACATGCTCAGGCACACTGAGACACACTCGCACACACCCAGACACTCTCAGACACACTCGCACACACTCAGACACACTTGAACACGCTCGCACACATTAAGACACACTCAGACACAGTCATACACACTCAAGCACACTCAGACGCACCCGCACACACTCAGACACACCTGCAAACACTCAGACACCCTTAGACAAATCAAGACATGCTCAGAGACACTGAGGCACACGCAGACACCCTCGTGCACACACAGACACATTCTCACACACTCAGACACACTCATAAACTCTTGAACACACTCAGACACATAAATACATGCTCAGGCACGTGCAGGCACACACAGAAACACTCGCACACACCAAGAAAAACTCAGACATATTTACACACAGACAAGCTCTCACACACCCAGACACGCTCAGATTCACTG